CAGCACTATTATTCGGCTCTAAGAGTCATAGCTTCCTCTCCCCCAAAGAATTCTGGGAACTGTAGTTTGTTAAGGGTCTCCTAACAACTCTCAGCTCCCTTAATAAACTGCAGCTCCCAGGATTCTTTGTCGGGAAGCCATGACTCTCAAAGCGGAATAAGAGGGCTTTAAATATATGGTATGGATGCAACCCAAGTGTGAGCAGACATGTGATATCTAGGGGGAAATATATTTTCAGTCACCCTCTCCTAAAATGTTAGGCTAAGGTGGGATTAGAAAATAGCAGATGGCCTTATACCCAAGCAAGGAGCAATAGGGCTAAGTTAAAAAAGGGGGAGGGGTGAATAATCATGTGATGAACAAACCTTCAAATCCACCCTCCTTTACATTTGTTGCCAACAATCGATAAATTTCAGTGAGAAAATGGAAAATGCTGCAGAGTGTGATCAACCCAAAACTGGTAGGTGGAGCCTCAGCATCTCATTCTCATTATCACCCCTCATTACATTTCGGCTAGTTTAGGGTGGCAATCCATTCACCATGGCAGTCAATCATTCCCCTGGCAGCCTCTTGACATTATCATATCTCCTGACAAGCAGATAAATGGCGGCGGGGGGGGGGAGAGAGATGACGACTGGGAGGATTCATGACTGATGAACTCCTGCAACTAAGAAACCAGTGAATTGACTCACCTGGATTTTGTCTTGGGAAGGGAGGGGGGGAAAGGGGAAGGAGAGTTGTTGCCATTGTGAGCACTAGCCTACCAAACACTCCTACCATGCAATCCCCATTTAAATAAGACCAAGAGGAATGCTGGGTACATGTCTCCCTGATTTTGAGATGGGGGAGATCCATGTGCTTTAGATGTATCAAGTGGATGAGATCCAAGCCAGATGTAGCTAATGTGATGCAATCCATATATTGCTCCCATCATCCCTGATTACTGTCCTTGTTAGCCGGAAATGACAGGCACTGTAGTCCAACAATATCTGGAGGACACCATGTTGATTACACCTGAACCGAACTCTCCCACATTGTACTGCTTTACCCTCCCACATGCTTAAACAGATTCCCCTCTGTTCCAGCAATCCTGGCCATCTAAGCATCTTTTTTCAACCATTGACCGACAAACCACCACCATTCCACATACCCTTCCCCCTTCGCTACAAAATTCCTTAGGGAAAACTGCAAATCCGGGCCCGGTCTTATTCAACATCTTTATCAACGACTTGGATGATGGACTCAAGGGCATCCTGATCAAATTTGCAGATGACACTAAACTGGGAGGGGTGGCTAACACCCCAGAGGACAGGATCACACTTCAAAACGACCTTGACAGATTAGAGAACTGGGCAAAAACAAACAAGATGAATTTTAACAGGAGAAATGTAAAGTACTGCACTTGGGCAAAAAAATGAGAGGCACAAATACAAGATGGGGACACCTGGCTTGAGAGCAGTACATGTGAAAAGGATCTAGGAGTCTTGGTTGACCACAAACTTGACATGAGCCAACAGTGTGACGCGGCACCTAAAAAGCCAATGCAATTCTGGGCTGCATCAATAGGAGTATAGCATCTAGATCAAGGGAAGTAATAGTGCCACTGTATTCTGCTCTGGTCAGACCTCACCTGGAGTACTGTGTCCAGTTCTGGGCACCACAGTTCAAGAAGGACACTGACAAACTGGAACGTGTCCAGAGGAGGGCAACCAAAATGGTCAAAGGCCTGGAAACGATGCCTTATGAGGAACGGCTAAGGGAGCTGGGCATGTTTAGCCTGGAGAAGAGGAGGTTAAGGGGTGATATGATAGCCATGTTCAAATATATAAAAGGATGTCACCTAGAGGAGGGAGAAAGGTTGTTTTCTGCTGCTCCAGAGAAGCGGACACGGAGCAATGGATCCAAACTACAAGAAAGAAGATTCCACCTAAACATTAGGAAGAACTTCCTGACAGTAAGAGCTGTTCGACAGTGGAATTTGCTGCCAAGGAGTGTGGTGGAGTCTCCTTCTTTGGAGGTCTTTAAGCAGAGGCTTGACAACCATATGTCAGGAGTGCTCTGATGGTGTTTCCTGCTTGGCAGGCGGTTGGGCTCGATGACCCTTGTGGTCTATTCCAACTCTATGATTCTATGAAATCCCACACTGTGCAACTGCTCTGTTCCACTTTTCTACCTTCTTTGAATTATTTGACACCCTGAGCTGTCAATTTAAAAGGGGGAGGCAGATATGAATGAATGAATCTTTTATTTGTGTCAGCCATCGGCTATAGCAATAAAACAACAATACAATATACAAAGAATAGAAATAAAAAGTCAATTATAGAAAAATATTTTAGGATTTGGAACCAATAGTCAAATAGTGGATCTTATTCTGATTGTCCCAGCTAAAAACCTTGCAAACCTTTGCTGTCATCTGCTCATCTTGATCTGCCAAGAGAAAGAACACTGTGGCAGTGGTTGGGCGACCCGGAATGGACAATAAAAGAAGGGTGATAATCTCATTCCTCAAGTCTTTATAAAGAGTGCAAGCCAGAAGGGCATGCACCAATTTGGTACTGTCATCTCCATATATTTTAGAATTGCTAGGTTATGCATATAGGTTGCCAGAGAGTTGAAATGGGAAGGTGGAATATAGTCATAGCAGGGGCAAAATTTTCTTTTTGTGGCCAAGTTGTTCTGACGCTCGATATCATTTAGGTGCTAACAAATTAGACTGATTGCTTTACTAAAACCCAAAGTGAGTAGATGTTGTGATGATAAACCACAAAAGTGAAGTTTTTGATAGACAATTTGAGTTCAGGCACTCATGACAATCTTGCAGCACTTGGGATATTAGACCAGGGATTTGAGTTTAGGCAAAGCCAATAGTTAAGGCAGATATTGAGGCACGCGACACTAGCCTTTGCCCCAATAAGATCAATAAATTTGTGTGGCGTGTGCTGGGACGCCATGGGGAGGGTCATCCGAATTGAACAGGAACGTTTTATAGTGTTTAAAGGGTACCAAAACTTAGTATCATATAAAACTCTTAGAGCTCACATATCTCATACTTACATTTGGCCTCTTAGTAATGTTGGAAATACGTCTTTGAAGAATTCCCTACATATGTATGTTAGCAATGTAAAGGTGTGGAATAGAGACACAAGAACAAACACTTTTCCTCTGCATTAATTAACAACTACAACAAAATCGCACCTTTTCACTCTGCATTAATTGATAAATAAACTAAGATGGTTTTGTCTTTGAAATTAGACTGGGGCAGGCCGTTTTGCTCCTATTGTAAAGGACCAAGCACACCTCAGCATTGGCCCCCAGAATCCCTATGAGGCTGTCCATCCATTTTATGGTAGGACTGCACTGAATAAACTTTTGAGGGTCCTCCATCACCAGAATACATGGAATTATTTTAACCTCAGGTTTTATATCAATAGGACTTCCCCCTCCTGACCCTCCCCCTCCCAGAATGTGAAGGATGCAAAGCAAAATGTCGGCAATCTAACTGATGGATATTGCCTCTCCCATCTCTGTCAGCTTTTCTAAGCTCCGCAAGGCTACAAAATTACTGTGTGAGAAAACAGATTCAGGTCAGCAACCCTGAATATAAAGTGCTTGCAATATTGGCAACAGCAAGAAAGCAATTGCCTGTGAATTCCTGGTGAACCTAAAGCAATTAGATTTACAAAAAGGGAAACTGTTAGAAATAAGTTCTCTATAAAAGGCGAACACCAATACCATCCCCATTATTCCAGTACATCAAGACCGAAAAACACTATCAAAATGCTTCAGAACTGTGGAAAGAAAAGAGCAGCCACTTTTCTCCAAGGTGACTGTGGAGCAGGAGAGGGCAGAATTTGGCATCTTCAACTCTGCTTAGTTATCATGGTGCATTTTAGGGGAGCTAAAGATTGTGAGGGACACTCTGCACTTTAGGAAGCTATTGCATTTGCTGTGGCTGCACTGGGCTAATTCCAAGGCTTCCATTTGTACTGTGGATTTCTCAGTAAAACACGGTGCAAATGGCAGATACAAGTCCTTAGATCACCGACCTGTGGCCCTCCAGGCATTGTAGGACTCCAAATCCCACCAGCCCTACCCTGCATGGCCGAGGGTTAGGGATTATTAGAACTACAGTACAACACCGTTTGGAGGCCCAATCCTGCACTCAGTACATTGAGATATATCCCAGGGAGTCCTTGTAAGCTGCAATACCCTGTTGTGTGTCCACTATACATCTGCTTTGCAGACTTTCAATTTCCTGCAGCATCTGAACTATAGATTTAAAGCAGCATCATACTAAGTTAAACACTCAACACATCCTCCAAACAATCCAGGGAACTGTAATCTAGTTAAGGGTGTTAGTAGTAGTTTATGACCACTGCTCCATTGCAATTGTGTTATACAATTCCATTCATAAGGATAACCATATAGATGGGTTTATGAAGCATTTCTGTATCCTTCTGCTGTGCTGAAGAAGAATTTCACGAAACAGTGGGTATATCCGGAATCACTGTACACTACATCTGTTTGCGGACCATTTCGGCAGCGTTGAACATCATAAAACAAAGATTTATGGCTTGTTTTCACCAGATAAGAATCTGACCCATTGCTTCTTTCAGAGACTTGCATAGTCCACAAAGACTTTCAGAGACTTATGTCTATTTGGTTCTATGTTTTCAAGAGAATCCACCAAGAGTGCATATTTTGTGATTTTCAGAGATTTGTAAGATTTATGTTTATTTGGTTTTGCAGAGAGTGCATATTTCATATATTCCATACTGTTCAATGTTCTGTATAGATTATATGAAGAGTTTATATTGACATCATATTGTTGTACTTGGTCATCGTGTTGCCTTGGATATTACTGATAATTGTTTGCAACACAGGGGTTTAATTGTTTGGTTACTTGTTAAGGGTGTTGACAGCTGTTAGGAGACCCCTATTCCCCGCAAAGAACTACAATTTCCAGAGTGGTTTATCAATGAATTCCTCTTCCAAGGGAGCTATACTGCTTTTACGTATAGTGCAGATGAGAGACTCAATGGTGCAATGTCAGTGTATCTGCAGGAAGTACCACCAGTGTTTCCCAATCATTTAAAAACCTTATTTGGCATGGTTATTGCTTCTTTTCTTCAAGGACTATGGGCCAACATAGGTAACCAACATGGTGCACTCCAGATTTTGTGGACTACAACCTCCCAGGAGCTCCAGCCAGCACAGGCAGCGGCCAGGAATTGTGGAGGATGTAGTCCAAAACATTTCGAGGACTCCATGTTGTCCATGACCAACCTAAAAGGTTTAGCACATCTGTCATGATTGGGCTGGAAGTCATTGTAACAGCAATAGTAGCAGCAGCAGCAGAAACAAAAGTCTAATATGTGCCACATCTCCTAGGAAATTTTTGCTACTGTTAATACTTGTTCAGTGAGCCATCTCCCCAAATGACAAGGTTGGAGTTTTTCTAAGGGAAAAAAAGGATCTCTAATGCAAGCTGCTTTGGAGGCTACCAACATTATCCATTCTCCAGCAGCTGTTGCTGAAACCACAGGGTTGCTGGCTCCTAATTAGATCCAGCTGCCCCTACTGCGAGCTCACTCATTGATGGGAGCAGGAAGACCAAGTGCCTGACAGTGGGTCTCTTTCCTGGCTTTTCGACAGACAGCGTAATTAACTTTCCTGCCCCTCTTAGAAGAACTATAAGGCAGAGCCGCAAAGGTGTTTGAGTGACTTAGAAAACATTACTTATGCATAGGAATCACAATGATTAATCACAAAGCCTCGGGAAACTGATTGGTAAGTTTGTAGTGGGGGGGAGGAGGAGGAGAAAGGGTGCAGATTCTGGTTAATTCCTCCTGCCTTGTGCACACAAGTGATAAACCCAGTTATAAGAATGGCTGTTGCTACTAAGTGCTTGGTTCTGCGTACAGGTGGAATGACTAGGGATGGGACTTCTGTGTGAATTTCTGTTTTAGGGAAGTGTACATACAGGCAGACCCCTTTGCTGCAGCTCTGGATGGGGATCCTTTGGCCCCTTAGAAGGTGATGGGCTACAGAGACTATCATCCATGACCATGGCCTTGGTGGCTTCCAATAAGGGAGCCAAGTATCACATTCCTACTGAAGTTCCACTTCACTCTTCTCTACTATCTTCCACCTAAGAGCAAGTGTTAAGTCTTCCTGATTTCTGCAGTTGCTACAAGAGAGAACAAGAAAACTCCCACCAGGCCCATCCAGCATGGCCAATGGCCAGGAATTCTTAGAGTTGTAGTCCAAAACATCTGGGAGACATTGTGTTGGCTACTCCTCCTGTGCTACCAGATATTTTCCTAGTTCCCCTTCAAATGAGATGCAACCAGAGGAGGAACAGGAAGCTTAAGTGTCTCTGTCTTTCTCCAGCTCATACAACAGCAGAATTCCCATACCCTCCATGACTGTAGGTGGAAGCACAAACATCTCCCCATGCTTCTCTGTCACATCCACAGATGCTCCAAACTAGAGCTTCTCAGAACAAGGGAAAGGATGAACACAAGCATTATTAGCTTGTTAGATAAACAAGAGGAGGGATTCGTGGGAGGAGGAGATGAAATGGAGGTGAGAAATGAATGAGTCTGTGGATACCCTCCATGGTGTCCAAACTAGCCATGGTGAGATGGGCGAAGTGCAGGCTGTAGGACACTGGTAGGGAACCATAACCCCCAGCCAGGATATTCAATGGTTAGGGATAATAGGCATTGAAGTATATCAACACTAGGAGGGCCACAGTTTACTTTGTATACCTCTGGCAATGTTATTTCAATGTGATCTTACATCATCAATATGCCTTTGCCGATTCTGATATTGATACCTGACCATTGGCCATGTGGCCAGGGGATGATGGCAGCTGGAAGCCCACAACAATTAGTTTCCCACCTCTGTAATAGAGTTACTGCAGAGGACATGCACAGGTCTTCCTCTACACCCAACCCCCCAATCCTAATGCTGGCCACAAAAAGACCTATTGTAACAACAAAATTCATCTTATTTTTCTGCTCTTCTTTTGGTACATTTACCAACTCATTGTGAGCACCAGCAGCTGAGGAAGAACACATTTATTCCTGCGTAGCCCCCACTTCTCTCCCAGTCAGAAAAGTAAACAGCCTCTTTCACTGCAGGTATTAAGGATGCATTTGTTCTCAAGCTGGTTATTCTTGAGTGCATTTGCTGTTGTCACATCCATTCGGCGCTTTGCTGTTTTCATGCCTATCTATCTGTCGCTCACTGCTAATAGCTCTAAAGTTCAGGTACTCAAGGGCAGTTTGTCAAGATGTGTGGATTAATATCTTGTCACATCTGGGCAGGAACGAGGCAATGATTTTTCAATCTGCACTTTACAGTTCTCATTGGAAAATGTCGAGAGTTTTCTTTCTTTCTCCTTCTCTTTTAGCGGATGTGAGGGAGCACTTAAAATCCACAGAGGGTATATACTGCATGTGTGGAAGAGGACAGCTCCCTTGATTGTCCTTCTGCTGCAAATTTTACATCAGGCCATAAGAACATACATATTATGCCCATAATTCCTAAACGCACACATACACAAGGCATTCATAGCAACCCTGAACAATTTCATTTGTGTGCATTTAATAAAGCTGGAGTCAAAATGTTCAGCTAATGCAGCTGCTACTAACAGCAGTTCATACATCCTATTGTTTCATCATGTATTTGCAGGCCAGGGTTGCAAAATCAGACCCTCAAGTTGTGAAATGGGCAGTAGGTAGACTTGAACCTGAATACAAATCCTTTTCAGCCAGGATGATTACAGGGGCTGGGGAAGTGGTATTTTTAAGGATAACATATATCCCCTAGTTCCTACCAAGGTCAAATAGAATAACAGCAAGAGTAGGATAGAGGAGGAAGAGAGAGATTAAAGCTGCAGTCCCTCTCTGGGGGAGGGCCATAGCTCACTGCCTGAACATCTGTTTTGCGTGTGGTATGCCCCAGGTTCAAGCTCCAGTATCCCAAGGTAGGGATGTGATGGATCTCTACCTAAAACCCTGAAGAGCTACCTAAAACCCTGAAGAAAACCCTGCCGGTCAATGTATAGAATATTGATCTATATTGATCATGCAGCTCCTTATATTTCTAAAATGCAGTGGGACTTGTAACCAAGTGAACTAAAATATGATCAGACGGAACGTGGTACTTTTCCAGAGAACCCGCCCGGTTTGAAAACAGCAAAGAAGCAACACTAGAATATGTAGCAACCACATCTCCAAATATCCACATTCTCTCTTCTAACCCAATTGCTGTGGAGCAAAGAAGAAGGAATCGCAGAGGCTTCAAAATATACACCTGGCAGGCCTACAGCTAGCAATACTCTAGAGCAAAATATTGCGCACAGGAATCTTAACATCCTAAGTCAGGAAAAAACAAAAAAGCTTGGGAGCCACTTGAGGGAACATTTCCTGCCTTAACAACCTGCACAACTGTTATTAGATCAATTGGCAGTGCCCTACTTTCCCTACCGTCGCTCTAGAGGTAAAGTAGGTTTTTAAGCAAGAGAAATGGTGTGTGTTTTTTAGCACTCCAATAGTGGGATGCCCTCGCTAGAGAGGTTTGCCTGGTGCCAACACTGCTGTCATTTGGCAACAGGCAAGAACATTTTCATTTGATCCAGCATTTAAAATAAGGGTGAACTAACATTCAGGTCACCCTTCTTCCCTCCCCCCCATGCAATGGGAAACTCAACTACAGACATTGTCATGGCACCTTTGCTGGAGGACCAAGGTCCAGGAATGTTGAGGTCCCACACAGCTCTTTAAATCTTTCAGTAATACCTGTATGCTTATGTTATTGTTTCATCTTGCTGTTTTAACTTTTGTAACCCCACTCAGAAATTTTCAGATGTTATGTTAACAAGCAAGCCCACTTCTGAAATTGATCTGATAAATCTGCTCCTCTAAAGGTAGGACTGGCAATCACCACACTTCTTGGAAGAGAGAGTCTTAAGTGCCATTTATTTAGCTGCGACTTGGTTTCCATCACATTGCTGTTCTACGAAGTAGGAAAAAAAGTGGTAGCAGAATAGTTGGCGATTTTTGTTCAGAACAGCAAGACTTTTGTGGGGTTTTGATACTGTTTGCATCTACTGCATTGTCTGCTGAACCAAGTGCCGGTAACTGGAGAGGTTTGCATCATCATCATCATTTTTTATTTGTATGCCGCCATTCCATAGTTAAAAAACGATGCTCAAGGCAGCTTATAGCATAAGAAGATTTACATAATTATAGAAGTCATAAACAATAAATAAACCACATCCAAAAAAATGCACAACCAAATGGAAAACCACATAAATCAAAATCTAAAACTAAGAATACAGCTTTAATATCACAGCTTAAAATGACATGGGTAAAAAATAACAGCAATTTAAACAAAAACAAAACAAAATGGAGTCCTCTCTGCCCAGCAGCAGCAGCAGTGGCAGCAGTCCTTTATAGAGCCCACTCTGCATTAACAGAATTAGGCCTACATTATGAATCCTGCAGGTCTTCAAATGCAGTATCTTTTTCCAAGAACAGCCTTCCCCAACCTGGTGCCCTCCAGGTGGAAGTTGTGGTCCAAAATATCCAGAGGGCATTTGGTTAATGAAGGTTGCTTTAGACCAAGAGAACTCAGTGTGTGCATGTGGGTTATGTGTAAGAGGACAGTACATAGGTAATCTGCTGTGCTAGAGTACAAACATGGACTCACCATTTGCTTTGGATTCCTTCCCAGTCTCATCAGCCTGCCTTGTTGTACATGTCTATCCCAATATTTCTTGATCCAATCCCTCTTGAAGTTTCTCTGCCTCTAATTCTGCCTAGTCTTCCCATCCTGACCTTGACAGCTGGAAACTCACAGCTGCAGTTGTTTGCTTCCAAACCTTTACCTTAAAACAGAATTTCCACCACCACTAGAAGCTGTGGCTCTTTAACAGACACAGAAATCCAGTCAACGCAGCTATTCGCATTCTTACATCTACATGCTGTGAAACATGGCACCTTTGAATTTCTGCTTGTCATGGGGCTGCTAAAAGCATCAGTGTCTCATTGAGGAAGAACACAGTACTCTCTCAAGAGAAAATGATCTGCCATTAACTAAGCCATTTTCTGTTGGAGTGCTCTGCACAAAACAGAAATGCAACAGGTACAACTTCTTACAGCAATGGAGATGCAGTGTTAATTGGATTTCTACTGGTCAATATATTTGGTAAGGCCAGGAGGGAAAGTAAGTTGAGGGGCCTGACAAGCAAAGGGCTTAATCCTTGGTGGTAGAGCTCAGATGCAAAAAGCAAGGGAGGGAGACAACTCATTTAATTCCAATAATGATCTCTCAGTAGTCTAGGCTGAATGCTGGAAGGGGGGGATGGTTTCACCAACTTTTGGGGGCCAGTAGGCATATTTATATGCCTGTTGTCTTTGTCCATGGAGTTTTCTTGGCAGGGATACTGGAGTGGCTTGCCGGTTCCTGCTCCAGGTGCATCACGTTTGGTCAAAACTCTCCACTATGACCTGTCCATCTTGGGTGGCCCTGCACGGCATAGCTCATAGCTTCTCTGAGTTATTCAAGCCCCTTCGCCACGGCAAGGCAGTAGTGATGTATGGAAGTGAGAGCTGGACCATAAAGAAGGCTGATCGCCGAATAATTGATGCTTTTGAATTATGGTGCTGGAGGAGACTCTTGAGAGTCCCATGGACTGCAAGAAGATCAAACCTATCCATTCTGAAGCAAATCAGCCCTGAGTGCTCACTGGAAGGACAGATTGTGAAGCTGAGGCTCCAGTACTTTGGCCACCTCATGAGAAGAGCAGACTCCCTGGAAAAGACCCTGATGTTGGGAAAGATTGAGGGCACAAGAAGAAGGGGACGACAGAGGACGAGGTGGTTGGACAGTGTTCTCAAAGCTACAAACATGAGTCTGACCAAACTGCGGGAGGTAGTGGAAGACAGGAGTGCCTGGCATGCTCTGGTCCATGGGGTCACGAAGAGTCGGACACGACTAAACGACTAAACAACAACAACAACAACAGGCATATTTGGAATTTTGAGAAAGTGTCATGGTGTCATGAACTGGCAGGATGACAGTGAGGAGGAAGAGGAAGAGAATCATGGCAAGGGATTGTAGCTGGGAGTGGGACATATTGGGGCAAGCTGGGGATGCGGAAGGAGAGTTTGGTGTAGGAAGTACTCATGGAGCAATGGTGAGGGGATGGGGGTCAAATGCACAGGGACCAGAGCAGCAGGACCAACTTCAGCAATGTTTACCTTCTTGCCCTGTTCCTGTCACCACTCTAACCCTTCTTGAACATGAGATATAGTTGTTTTGCTTCCCAGTAATCACCAGCTTCCTAAGAGGCCTCTTTTGAACAGAAAAGAGGTCAACCCCTTGTGTGATAAGTGAAACCTATATTGAGGTTACTAGGAGGAAAAGAGGGGACATGAAGACGGTATGATCTTTGTTGTGCAAATGAACAGCAACCGCTTTTACTAGGGTTACATGAAAATATGGCTCCTACTCCGTTTGTCCATTTAAAAAAATGTACAGACACCCATTGCAAGAGAATTTAGATGAGCTGAAATTTTACCAAAAAGGAAAGACAGTGAGGGATATTCAAGCCTCCTGCTGTGGATTTTGATTATGAGCCAATTATTGCTGCAGTTGCCACGAATGCTTATTAGCTGAATTTCAGGAACAGGCCATTTAAGAACTCAGACCTTGAGCAGTAGCTTTTGTGCTTTGATAGAAAACTGAAGCCGCCTATGCATAATGTCATTCAGAAGTAGGCAGAATAATACTAGTGGGGCCCAGACTTGCTCATATGAGCAGAGCCACCATCATATCCAAAGTGCCAGCAGCCCCTGCTAATCAGGGAAGAACTCTAGGGTGGAGGGGTGGGTGGGTTTTTCAGTTTTTCCTAGGTTCACTCCTGCTTGGTACTGCAAGCGGGCATTCCCCTCTTCAGCAAACAGGCCAGCACATCCTTGACCAACCCCACTCTGCCCCATTTTTGGACCTGACCCCTGATACTGCAAGCAGAAGCCATGGGGTAAGGAGAAGAGTTTACTGCAACAACAGGCTTAAGCACCTACGCCAGTGATTTTCAACCAGTGTGCCATGGCACCCTGGGGTGCCTTGAATGATGGTCAGGGGTGCCGCGGGCAACACTGGCCTCTGTCCAGTGTTCTTTCCCTTCCTCCTCTGATGCCCTCTCATGTTTCTGCCACCCAAAGGCTTGTGTGGCTGTTTGTTGCAGCAGCCCTGGCTATAAGCGCCACAGGTGGGGCTGGCCAGGGGGTACTAGTTGCCAGGAGCGGAGGTGGCCTTGGAGTAAGCAAACAGGCGAAGGAGCCCAGCCAGCCAACCAGTCTGTCAGCCCTTACTGTTGGGAATGGACAGACAAGTCTCAGGCCCCTGTGGGGCAGTGTGAGGAGGCACCTCTCTTTGGGGCAGGGGGAGGCAGCTCAGAGACCAGGGGCGGCAGCTGCAGAGGACTCCCAAAGAGAGGGGAGAGAAAATGAGGCTGAGGGCACACTCCACAAGGGAGGGTGTTCGAAAAAGAGCAAGAGGCTGCCAGCTCTGCAGGGAAGGGGTGACCTAACTGGGCTCCTGAGCCCCACAGAGGTGCTGCAGAAAGAACGTAGTTAGTCAAGGGAGCCGTGTACTCAAAAAGGTTGAAAACCTCTGACCTAAGCAAATAAGCAGTGAGTCTTAACATTTTTATGTCTCCAGATGCATACAGAATTCTTCACAAAGGCTTGCATTTTCTAGAGGAGGAGCTATGAAAGTCTACTGCAATAAGGAGGATTTTGTTGCACCTTAAATGCTTATGTAGCTTATGCTTTCTCAAAAAAGAGCTTGCTGGCATCAGATACATGAAGACAATGAAATTGGCTCTGGACTACAAGAGCTCACCGCACAATAAAATAACAACTTTCAGATGTTTAGGACGACAATGTTCGTCAGCCATTCCTGATGCTAGCTGGGGTTTATGGGCATTGTAGTCCAAAACAGCTGGAGGGCACCCGGTTGGCAAAGGGTGCTACTGGATTATAGAAACTTGCAACCCATCATGCTTCACCCTTTCTAGGTTGTGAATGCACATTGTGGTCACTAGAGAACATCCCTGTAAGAATATAAAGAGTGCCTTGCCGGATCAGACCAAAGGCCTACCTCGTAAAGCATTCTGTTTCCATAGCGACCAGCCAGAGGCTTTTGGGAAGCCCACAAACAGGGCATCAGCACAACAGCCACAATAACACTTGTGATCTGTAACAGCTGGTATTTAGAAGCATACTGTCCCTGGCTTGAGGTGACATAAAGCCATCAAGACTAGTAGCCATCTTCAGTAGCTGAGGGCAGTATTAATCCTGGGCTCAGTACTGACCCTTGTAGGTGTGAGCCGGTGGGACAAAAAAAAAATGTATTGGGCCAGTGAGATGTAGCAGCTATGGAATAGGGAGACCAAGGTTCAAATTTCTTCTCAGCCAGGAAGTACAGGCAACCCATTTACGTGGCAGTCATGTTCCAAGACACCGAGTGTTTAAGTGAAATTCACATATATTTGAAACACCATTGAAAATGCCTGCAAACACTCCTCCCCTCCCCACCCTGTTCTGCCCCTTTTTGTGACTTTTTGGGTTACTTCCTGGTTTGTACAGTGTGTATGCGCAGTCACACAAATATTGAATGTGCGTTAAGGGGGGAAGGTTGCCTGTACATTTGGCCAATCACAGTCTCTCAGTCTAACCTGCCTCAAATGGTTGCTTTGAGGATAAAACACGAGGAGCGGGGAGACCATGTACGCCACCTTGAACTCCTTGAAGGAAAGATGGGTTATAAACGTAATAGTAAATAAATAAAACATTGGCTGAGGGGAAGCAAGCTCTACTTAATCCTCCTTCCCTCGACTTTACCATCTCAGCCAAAATGGATAAACAGTAATTTCAAATCCCAGCCTTGACACAAGACGTCTCAAGAGAAGAGTTCTGACCCTCAAAGAACACAGCTTGCTCAGTGCTGCCTGATTAAAAACATGAATAATCTTTATGAGAATGTCTTCCTTACATGTTTGAGCTGGGTGGTTATTTAAAAATAAATAAATAAGACCAATGCACATAAAAGTCTATTTCAAGACAACTGGCAAATACTTGGGGGGGACGACCCTTTTTTTTAATGTGAACTTTATACAGCTCAATCTAGTATTTTTATATTTTTTATATTTTGTTTTGAAATATCTTATTCTATGCAGAAAAACTGATGGAATACAAAGATGGAAAGGAATTGCATTTCTTCTTACTGTTCTGCAAACCTTCGCCTCGAAATCAAGATAACCTCGTATTTTAGACTTACAAAATAAGCTGTAACATCTCTAAGGGAGTCATTAGACTACCTTGCAAACTGCAAGGGAATCACTCCCTATTACAGATTGTTATGATATCCCTGGGCTGTCCTCGGTCATGTCAGTGAACTGTTAAAAGCTTTCTATGCCCCTGTTCGATGTAATGCATTAATAATGGCTTCACTTAAAAAACCAAAAACAAAACTACTCACCACCTTTTCCCCTCATTAGCCGGCTTGAATGCCCAACAATCAAGGGGGAAACGACTCAGATTATAGGAAATTTTAGAACTATACATTCCAACATACTTTGGAGTAAAGAACCAGGTTTAACCAATTCCTTCTTTCTATGTGTCCTCAAAAGTAAGACAATGTCAGAGACGAAAAGTTTCAATAGCTACAGATGTGTAATCTTCAGTGGAGGACAACAGGGGCCTTGCACCCATTGTGGATATTCCAGGATCCCATCCCTGAAATTTTCTGATATAAAAAAGCAAAGGCAGTTGGCTCATAAGCACAATTCCAAAATTTACAAGATCAGGCCAATCAAAATGTCACTTTTTTGGAATTTAAAAAGATGCGTGGTTTTTGCCATGGTCTGCAACCTTACTAGCAACCTCTGAGCCATGTACTTCCAACAGAAGTCTTCTCCTTCATTTCCAGGACCCATGAATAGCTTTTACAAATATTTCAAAGTGAATTTTGCCTATAGTGTCATTTACAGATCCAGAACTGGCAGCCTCTCAATAGCTCATAGCCCATGCTAGAAGTGATGACTGCCAGAATTCCAATCAGACCCTCAGGAATCAGTTGAATGTGCACAGACCACCGAGATAAAACTTCAAGCTGTAAAGAACCAGAAATGGCAGACTAAGCAGCACTGTTTTTAATGGTTTCGTGTCAGCACTCTAGTCAACTCCCCGGGAAATAACCACTGCAAAAATCCTCGTTTTGATTCCAGAATCCAACCTTATCGCTGCAGTTCCACAGTTTCTCCCATCTTAGAATGCCATATGCCTTGCGTGCTCAAGGGAATGCCTTTATGTTTTAGACATTAAGGTAATCGCTGCATTAACAACTAGAGATTCGAAACATCGGCTCAGATTCTTCCAACATTCCCCCCATCAGAGCTAAAGGGAGTTCTGGAGCTTCTGCTGAAATGGACACTGTGCAGATGTCAACGGAAACACAATTCCATTGGTGGGCCCACAACACAATGATCTGCATTCTCCATTGCGCAAAGCATTGCATCTATAAAGACTCTGGTTGCAGTGGTAGAGTTATTCCTTGTTACACCTGATATGGTTTAGCTTCTGGGTCACATGAAAGTCATACCAATGCCGAAAGTGCATCAATGTCATTAAGCTGCACTAGTGGAAAAGTTACTTGGAATGAGCACTCATGTTTTGTGTGCCCACAGCAACATACAAATGACCTCAACCCACTCTCATCACAGCGCCTGTATTCAAGTTTTGATTCCTGTTCAAGACTTCAGACGAGTTCAGACAGCCAATGACCTCCCCACCAGAGTTTGTTGGGCTCCAAACCCCATTAGCTCAAGCCAGCATGGCCAATGGGTAAGGATGATGAGAGTTGGGGTCCAGCATCTGGAGGACACGAGATTCCCAGCCCCCGTACTAGACACATCCCTTCCCTTCTTTCTCCCAATATTCGTAATCCATAATCCAACAAGACAGAGCCAAGTATGGTACACAAAACGGCTTTTGCAGAATCAAATGATCACACCCCAGCAGAGATTGCCTGGGATTACCAACTGAATTGTTTAATTTGGAAATGCAGTAAAAATATTTTAACATAAGGAACCGCAGAAAGAGAGGCAGGGGAGTCAATATACAATATATGAAATAACTTGATTTTTAAGAGTTTTTTGCTTTTCATACAATGAAAATTATAAATAATTTGTTTTTAAAAGGAATACCAGCTGCGTTTGGTTACCTTCAAGCGGCAGCTAGGCACACAACCACTAATCTGAATGCTTGAATCCACCCATTATAAAGATACAGAGAGCTTCGCCAACATCAGGCAACTTCCAGGTTGCTTATCATAAGCAATCTCAGCTCGCAGTCAGGAATGCAAGGTGAAAGCGATTTCCATTCTGGCCTATCTTCAGCTCAGTTTTCATGAAATGGTACATTTCTCTCTTTGTCCACTATTTAACATAAATTAAGTGCTTATTTGCCTAAGTTACAAATTTAACCTAACAATGCAATTATCTGCGCACTATCTACTTCCATGGAAAGGAAATATCAAAACAATGTAAAAAGATTTAAATGATAATAATAATTACGTATCAGTTGTGGGCTTTAGAAAACAAATACCGTATTTTTTGCTCTATAAGACTCACTTTTTCCCTTCTAAAAAGTAAGGGGAAATGTGTGTGCGTCTTATGGAGCAAATGCAGGCTGCGCAGCTATCACAGAAGCCAGAACAGCAAGAGGGATTGCTGCTTTCACTACGCAGCAATCCCTTTTGCTGTTCTGGCTTCTGAGATTCAGAATATTTTTTTTCTTGTTTTCCTCCTCCAAAAACTAGGTGCGTTTTGTGGTCTGGTGCATCTTATAGAGCAAAAAATACGGTATGTGGTGAGCAAATCTAGTTGTACAAAAAACACAATCTGCTTCTGTTTCTGGCAGAATTCTCTGACTTTCCAACTTGCAGCTTAATGCCATAAGACGCTACTCAAAACGTACTAAGGCCGTGCAGTCGTATCCTTCCACAGTGGGCTTTAATTGTCATGCCACATTAAGGAAACCGAATGTAACAAAGCTTAGGTCACCACATGGCTAGAACTTCCCCAGAAAAATATGAAACTTCTGACTCACCATACTGGCAGCGGGATCCCTGAAATCCTGCTGGACACTGGCATATCCCACCAGAGCATTTCCCTCCATTGAAGCAGGTGCCCACAGAACACAATGCTGGAGAAAAAGGGAAGAGACAAGGAAGCAACAGTTATATGCAGAATCCATGAGCTTCTCATACAGCTAATACTACAAATGATGCTTGAAAGCGAATGTGCCCAAGTCCTCCCTCTAGGAAGGGAAGGAAAGCATTATTAATAAAATAACCCTGAGGGCTTTTGCGCACATAACAAGGCAACAAACTATAAATGCATGTTCAGACAACAGGGTGATGAAACATTTCAAAAAGAATGGGAAAAATTTATGTCATACATAGGAGGGGTAAGGTGAAATAGTGAAACCAGTAGAACTGAAATAAACCTCATAATGTGAAATACGAAGAAAATTTCTGGATAAAGAAAATAACTTAAAGTAAAATGTACAATGTGATTAATGTAACCAATGGTAGTTGTAAATGAATATAGACAGACAGTAAGAATTGTATATACAGGAGGATTTGACTATAGACACTCTATGGACAAATACGAAAGAAGAACAACATACAAAATGGATGAAGACAATGCGAAAAAGTTAGATGTGCTATAAAAGGCTAGAAGAAGTCGGCTCTGGGGAGCAGGTGTAAATGTGAAATGTAATGCAATACGTGTATGTGGAGTGTACAAATGAAAACCAATAAGGAATATTATGGGGGGGGATATAAATGCATGTTCAGCAACTGGCAGCTGTGTTTTCCTAACGTGTGTGCACAATACACCGGCATCCAAACACAGTTGCAAATTTCATGCTTGGGACTGTCCTACGCTGTTGTTGTTTTAATTAAATGCAAAGGCTCAGTGCTTTATGCTTTGCATTAAGAAGGTGCCAATCTTCGGAGCTGCGAATGTCCCCTCTAAAACCCTGGAGTCCTGCTGCCAAGCAGTAAAGACATTACCAGGCTGTATGGAACAAACGAGATAGATCAATGGTCAGACTCCGTGTTTATTCAGTTATTTTGTTTATTAAATTTCTATGCCACCCTTCATCCTAGAATCACAGGGCAGTTTACAGTATAAAAACGCAAAAACACAGAACAGTCAAAACAAAGAACAACAACCCCACACATAGCCAATTTATGGCCTTTCAAAATTGGTAATTATCCAAAGGCGTGAGAGAAGAGGAACGTTTTTGCCTGGTGCCAAAAGATATGCAAACAAAGGCGCCAGGTGAGTCTCTCTGGGGAGAGCATTCCGTAAGCAAGGAATGCAGAAATGGCTCGTCTCTGGACCTCTCCTGGAAGAGGCACACAAAGAAGGGCCTCAGATGATGATTGCAGGGTTCAAGTCAATTCATATGGGGAGAGGTGGTCCTTGAGGTATGGAGGTCCTGAGCCATTTAAGGCTTTATAGGTCAAAACCATGACTTTGTATTGGGCCCGGAAACTAACTGACAGCCAACACAGAGACAGGCCAGAGTTGGTGTTATATGCTCCAACTGTCTTGGGCCCCAGTGAGCAGCCTGGCCACCAAATTTTGCACCCGCTGAAGTTTCCAAACCTTCTTCAGAGGCAGCCCCACGTATAACGTGTTGCAGAACCTAGAGGTTACCAGAGCATGGGCAACAGAAGTTAGGTTATCCCTGTTCAGATAGGGGCATAACTGGGCCATCAGCTGAAGCTGATGGAAGGCACTCCATGCTACGAAGACCACTTGAGGCTCAAGCAAGAGCCAAGGATCCAGTAGTAGCTCCAAACTGCATAACCACTTCTTCAGAGGAAGTGTAACCCCATCAAGTATAAAGGAGCTTCTTGTGTTCCTGCTTTTTTAAAAAATTAATAAATAAATAAATCAAGAAGCATCTTTAAAGAATAATGAGTTAAGCAGCTCACGGTATTCTACAATCACAACTTACAGTGAAGGCACCCAGCTTCATCAGCTTTCTTCTGGCTCCAGCCAGGGCAGCACTTAAAGACAGTGTGATGTTCCATGCTGTACACTTGCTTATAAATGGTATAATAGCTTGTCCTTTAAAAAATAATCATAGTAAAAGCACAGTGTAAGATAGCGCTAAGACAAAACATTGCCCTACTTTGTTCAGGCAACAGCTATGGTCTACATCCAGCACGCAAGGAAGAAAATAGCATCTCTATTTTGAGACACATTATCAGTTATTGCATAGCAGTGGTTTTCAAACTTCCTTTCTTTGGGGAATGCTGTTGACATTGAACTCACCTGATTTATCCTCCATGCATCTGCCATGGGACCCACATATTACAGAAACAGGAAGGGGCAAAAAAATATTTAGTGAGTATATTAGAGGTTACCGCCACCACGCTTCTGCTGCACTTTTCTGCTTGTGTGGTGGCACCTTGGTAAAACCACTTCTTACTGTTGTAGCAGACTTTTCCCCGGAGGCAGAGGACAAGAACAGAAGTCATCCTCAAATTCACAATCAAGAGCTTCTTTATGGCTTGACTGGTTGCACAAGCATTTCTGTTACTATTATATACAAGCTATTTACATTCCTTCTTTCTCTCTCCAGCATGGCATAATCTCAGCCCAGGAATTAATCCTGACACAGCAAAACTCACAATATCAGCAGCACAAATTGTCTTACTTCCAAACTTGTTATCAGCATGCGTGCTGACAGTGTGTGTGTGTGTGTGTGTGTGTGTGTGTGTGCGCGCGCTTTCCTCATGTGGAAATTGCAGCCTGCAACAACCTCCCTTTATTTGCACCTCCAGCTGACACCAATCAAGCCTAGAGTGCCACTCTTACACACTAACGAAAAATTCTGGAACCCTCTTTAAAGCTTCCAGGAACTTTTTCCTGTTTCTTAAAGAATGTTTTCCTAATAGAGTAAAGCAAAGGTGTGCAGTCAGCATCTCTTAACACTTAACTAATGTGTGGTAGGTGATCCTGGGTATGCCCGCTTGCTTAAGATGATGAACACTGCTTCACTGATCAAACCATGCTTTAAAAACACAGGACCATGTGTTACCTTCTCTCATAGGCCATGCACCATCTCTGTCCTGCACAGTCCTGCTTCCACATCTTCACCAAACGGGTAAAGGCTTGAACACATGGCTGGCGATGCCCCACCATGGCCAACTCTTGCTCGGAACAGACATTTGGCCTGCAATTTTGGGAGAAGAAAATAAATCAAGAGCATGCACTGTGGACACACAACACCAGATAAGTCTGTCAAACGCTCCCAATTCTTATTTTGATTACCCAGATATGAGTCACCAACACCTTCCTATCTACTTTATGTTGTAAACAGCACGTAATTTTAGACCAAGCCTCTTCACCGGCTGATTCACACATAACTTGATCTTCAATTGCTCAACTATGAATAATTAGCAGATGGTTGTACAGACCTGAGATGGAAAACCTATAGTCCCCCAAATACTGTTGGACCTCAATTCTCAGCATCCCCAAGCAGCACTGACAATGCTCAAGGATTATGGGAGCCATTGCCCAGCAACATCTTTTAAATGTGTTGTGGGAGGGGAATTATTGGTTTGTTTTTGTTCTTATTTTTACTTTGTATTTTGTGTTTTTTTAATTGTAATTTTATCTTGTGACACCCGCCCCCCGAGGTCTATGGATAAAGGGTAATATAAAAGTAATAAAATAATAATAATCTGGAGAGCCACAGGTTCCCATCCCTTGTCTATTGAGTTCACTTTCCCCAACACACTGCAGAGTGGCTCCTGCTCAAACGTATCTCTCGGAAGTCCCTTATCACTGGAAGTCCTCTGTTCAAATGTCACCACAGTGATGATCTCATTAGGTGGCCTTAGGCAAGCCACCCTTTCTCAGCCTTAAGTTTCTCCATCTGCAGTATGGGGAATAATAATGTTCTTATTTTACAGGGATGTAGACCAGGCATATGAACCACTCTGAATACTTACCACAGAGATTTTCAAGCTGTTTTGAAATACTTTTAGATAAAATAACTAACACACGCACAAAAGGCTAAGTACCAGGAACTGAACCTGGGATTCTCTGCATGCAAAGTATGTGCTCTGTTCTTGTGCTATGCCCCTTCCACAGTGGTAGTAGGGAGGAAAGCTGAACGGTCTCGCTGGAGAGAAGGCACTCACCCCCACACACACACCATCAACAATTTGGAGTTCTCCGTTATTCTTGCAGCTTCAACTGCAAATTGAATCCAAGGGGAGTTGGAAGTTCAAACGCCTCAGCTCTTCCACATATTTCTATAGTGTCCAGAATAGAGCTTCTGCATCTCCCCACTCTGGAGATGCCGAAGGTCCCAATGGGCTCCATTAACGTTTGTGTCAACAAAATGAGGAACAGAACCCATTGCACTGCAAAAACTGTACGTGAGAGGTATGTTCTCATGGGCTCCCAAACACAGTCAATAAGAACTTAAGGGCTCCCACTGGGACAACTGTCGTCCCTTCCAATGGGGGCCTGCTTCAAACCTAGACCAGGGGTGGGGAATCAGATGTTCGGTTAATGTTTCCATCATTCCTGCCATTGCCCATGCTGACTGGGGTTGATGAGAGATTCCAACATCTTGGGGACTCCTGGTTCCCCATCCCTGCTTCAGACTATATACTGCGGAGCAGTAATTTCCAAGCTGTATTCTGAAGAAACCTGGTATGTATTTAAGCAAAGGTTGGAGGACCACCTGTCCTGAATGGGTCTGGATTGCATGGGGACTAGATTGCCCTTGGTGTCCCTTCGAACTGTACGGTTCTATGATTCCTTGAAAGCCTGACAAGCAATACGAGAAAAATCATTTCTTCCTTCATTGATTTTTAATTTCAAGTAATGTAACATGTCCATACAAGGAAAACATAGCTTAGTAGTTGTACAGAAAAGAAAAATAGCGTCTGACAGTTGTAGTTTTAGACGTTCCAGGAAAGGCAATCTCTCCCAAAGTGTCTCTCCATAAGGTTCCATGAGTCAATGGAGGGTGAAAACCATGTTCGATTGTCTTAACAAAGTCAATAAAAGGACATCATGTCCTATAAAAGGTGTGAGTCTCCCCCCACTCCAATCGATATTCCTTTTGTGAAATGGTTAATTTGTCCATAAGCACGATGTCCCATACTTGTGAAATCCAGGCTTCAAAAAGATTTGTGTTTAAGGTTTTCCCATGTCTTGCAGTCATTAACCTAGCTGCAGTTAATGGAGGTTGGGGTCTTTATTGGTGATGTTCTTAAGTAAAATGAGGCAATAGGGCTAATTTTGGGTCTGGGTGTAGCAATAGTCCCATCACTTGAATAATTGCTTGCAAAACTTTTTCCCAAAAGGGAGTAAATTTTGGGCAAAACCACCACACGTAGAGAGCCAGGTAAATTGAATTCCCACCAACAAATTATGATTAATTCTATATATCCTGGCTGGGCACATGTACCAGCGTTGTGCTATCTTTAAAACATTTTCTTGAGTTTCTTGGAGGGATCCAAATGATAGCTGATTCCAAATTTGTTCCCACAGTTGTTCCTCTAGTCTCCAAAACCTTTCCCCCATTTCAGTCTTAATTTTATCCAATTGTGGTGAGGATTTTATCTAGTTGGGGGATGCTTCCCTTTCCTAGTGGGTTGGTTGAGTAGTTGTTCAAAACTAATTCACCTGCATAATGCTTGAGTCCTTATATTTGGCTGGTTTAGAAAATGCATAATCTGGTGTATCTCTAGCCAACCACATGGTTTATCTCCCAACTTAAAATTTATTTCTGGAGCTGTAAGGGGTTTTTGATCAGCGTAGAAGCTTCTGAGTTTATATAATCCCATTGCTTCCCACCTGGCAAATGAGCCTGATTTGGCTGCTGTGCAGAAGGAAGTGTGTTGTGTTACTGAGAGAGAGAAATCATTTCTAAGATACAGTTTTGTCCAAAGGTTTCTTACAAAGTGCAAACACAGAGTATGGTTTGATGTATTCTGGGCTCCAATGCAGGCAACAATGAACCCAATCCTCTGCAATGCCAGCCATGAAAGGGCTTCTCAGAAGAAGGGTCTATTTGCTAAGTACTAGGCACTTATATATAGTGCTTTAGGAAGTTTGCACTTCCCATACAGCAGCACTGTAGCCCTTCCTAACCTGAATTACAAACTTGATTATCCTTGTATTGCAAGTGGCAGGTGACAGGTGGGGACAGGACAGGGCTGATGTGGTGGGGCTCGTCTAAGTCCTCCTAATAAGGATGGCAAAGAAGCAGTCAACCAGAAACTCAGTCCTTTAACCACTACACTAGGCTAGCTATCCAGAAACATGTTCCCTAAAAAGGAAGGGAGTCTGGAAACTGGAGGCTAATCATCAATATGCCATCTAGTCACCATTTCCCCCAACCAGAATCCAGAAACATGAATCGAATGGATTTAAAAAGCAGGAAGATGAATGCCCTCGGGTGACATGCCTGCTCAAATATAACCAGTATAGGATGAGAAGTTTAGATTGTGCTATGAATTTGCATTAACTGAAAAATGATCAAACTGTTTAGTGGGCAGCTGCTCAGTAGGTGCTAAACACACTATAGTAAGCGTCTAAATTCAGCAGAAGAGTCTTTTCACGCCCCCACTAAACAGAAGGTGTCCCAGCTTGTATCAGGTCAACTGAAGCGTCTGCTGTCTGAACACTATTGATCCCTGTGAAGTCAAGATACACTTGATTTGCCACATTACAGCAACCCCACCACCCGCAAGCAGTGAGACGTTCCAGGGGCAATGCTATAGGGTTTTATTTTCTTGAATGAGGAAGCACAGGTCTGAATATTTAAGATGTCTTTGTAATATATCTATTACAAAATAAGCCAGCACTGTGTGAGTGGAAGTAAGCTGATTCTTCAAAGCTGGCAGAAAACGCATCATTATTGTGCAAAGTTCACAGAGTCCCTGCAACCCAAAATATATATTTATTTTTTTACAGCCAGCTAATAGCTCTCTCTCTCTCCCTCTCTTCTTCAGTTCATACAATTAACTGGTTCTTCTGCTTCTCCCCCCCATCTCTAACATGACATCCCTGCCTCCTGCCAAAAGCAGGGGAAGAGAGATTCCCAGCCATCAAGGACAGAGAAGGGGAGGAAATGGTAGGGCAGGATCTAATGGCAGATCTCTGGGTGATTTGCAGTAGATCAGAAAGGGTTTCTGACTCCCAATTGTTTAACTATTAGGCTCCTTTGAGAGGAAGGGCAGGATATAAATGTAATATAAAACAACAACAGCGCCAGTAGCTTAGAAGGATGTGTCAATTTCAGTTCTCTCATTGCCTCATTTTTAAAGCTTAAATTCAGTTCTCCACATTTCTGCAGCAAGCTGCAAACAGGAACACTGCAAAATCCTAACGAAAATTCACCAGCATTTTAGAGTGAATTTCTCCTAACAAACAAATTTTTTTTAAAATACGGTTTTGACCGATGTACACATTTTTGCAAAAGATTCCCCCAATACACTTCTGTATGTTGTACTCACTAATATAATCATACTTATGCACACTTGTCCCTAATATATGAATTTTTGTAGATAATGGTTGGTTGGAGAACTGCATCAAAATAAATAAATCAGTGTGGATTTCGAGGGATGGCTGTGTTTTGGTTCTCAATTTGTGATGACTTGCATGTGTGAAACGGCCAAAGGTCACTGGCAGAACACTTTCCCAATGCCTCGGTTGTTACTGTACATTGTTTGAGGATCATACTGGCAGATAACCACTGTATTCTGCTCTGGTCAGACCTCACCTGGAGTACTGTGTCCAGTTCTGGGCACCACAGTTCAAGAAGGACACTGACAAACTGGAACGTGTCCAGAGGAGGGCAACCAAAATGGTCAAAGGCCTGGAAACGATGCCTTATGAGGAACGGCTAAGGGAGCTGGGCATGTTTAGCCTGGAGAAGAGGAGGTTAAGGGGTGATATGATAGCCATGTTCAAATATATAAAAGGATGTCACATAGAGGAGGGAGAAAGGTTGTTTTCTGCTGCTCCAGAGAAGCGGACACGGAGCAATGGATCCAAACTACAAGAAAGAAGATTCCACCTAAACATTAGGAAGAACTTCCTGACAGTAAGAGCTGTTCGACAGTGGAATTTGCTGTCAAGGAGTGTGGTGGAGTTTCCTTCTTTGGAGGTCTTTAAGCAGAGGCTTGACAACCATATGTCAGGAGTGCTCTGATGGTGTTTCCTGCTTGGCAGGGGGTTGGACTCGATGACCCTTGTGGTCTCTTCCAACTCTATGATTCTATGATTCTATGATTCTATGAACCAGCCTATAACATGGAGCATCTTTTGAAGGAGCGTCTCCACCCCCATCATTCTGTCCGGATGCTGAGGTCCAGCGCCAAGGGCCTTCTGGCGGTTCCCTCACTGCAAGAAGCAAAGCTACAGGGAACCAGGCAGAGGGCCTTCTCGGTAGTGGCGCCCACCCTGTGGAACGCCCTCCCATCAGATGTCAAGGAAATTAACAACTACCTGACTTTTAGAAAACATCTGAAAGCAGCTCTGTTTAGGGGAGTTTTTAATGTTTGATTCTATTTTTAATATTCTGCTGGGAGCCTCCCAGAATGGCTGGGGAAACCCAGCCAGATGGGCAGGGTACAAATAAAAAATTATTATTATTATTATTATTATTATTGGTACATTTAGCTCTATGCTGACTGGCAGCAGCTGTCCAGTATTTCAGACAGGAGACACTCCCTGCTTACATGGAGGAGCTGAGGGTTGAACCAGGGACCTTCTGAATACAAAGCCTCTGCTCTACCCCTGAGCTATGGACCCTTCACAATGACTATGTATATATATTAACACATGCTATAATCTCCAGTAAAAGAAATAAATGAAGATGTAGCAGGCTTTAGGTTTGTCTATACATACCAAGGAGATTAATTTCAACCTCGCTGGTGAAAATGTTTTAGAAGCATGCATTTAAAAGCTTGCTGCATAATTGCCACTTCTATAAAACCACAATTGTCAGTCTCCAAATATATGGCAAATCAAATGTTACCATACTCACCTACAGCTGTTCAGAAATATGGAGAAGCAGAAGACAGATGTGAATTTACTGCAGGGGAAACCCTGTGACTCTCAATAGCTCAGTCAGCAGAGCATGAGACTTAATCTCAGGGTCGTGGGTTTGAGCCCCATGTTGGGTAAAGATTCCTGCATTGCAGAGGCATGGACTAGATGACCATTGTGATCCCTTCCAATTCTACAATTCTATGATTATTGAATTACAACTCTCATCAGTGCTGGCCATCAGCTGGTCCTCCGTCTGGGAGGACCAAAGATTTCCCCTTTCTGGTTTACTGACTGCTGTACTTCCTTACACATGGTAACAAAGCCCTAGAAACAGACCTGACATAAGACAGATGGCTGCTAGGCATAATAATAATAATAAAAATTTATTTATATACTGTCCTCCCCAGCCAAAGCCGGGCTCAGAGCGTCTAACAATAAAAGTAACACAGTTTACATAAAATCAATTAATTGAAATGCATTCTAAAATCAATTCAAAATCAAATTAATGACAACCATTGGGCTAGAGTTCTGTGAGGATTATCGAAGGAGGGGGTCAGACTGTGCCTTGGCCAAAGGCCTGGTGGAACAGATGTCAAGTCCCACAGGGCCCTAGTCTCTTGTGACAGAGCGTTCCACCAGATCGGGACCACAGCCGAAAAAGCCCGGCTCTGTTCGAGGCCAGCCTAACCTCTCTGTGGCCCGAGACCTCCAGTATTTTTGTTTGAAGACCATAAGGTCCTCCGTGGGACATACCAGGAGAGGCGGTCCTGTAGGTCCTAGGCTGTATAAGGCTTTAAAGGTTAAAACCAGCACCTTGAACCTGATCCTGTATTCCACCAGGAACCAGTGCAGCTGGTATAGCATGGGGTGAATGTGATCCCACGGCAAGGACCCCGTAAGGAGTCTCGCTGCAGCATTCTGCACTCGCTGGAGTTTCTGGGTCAGTCTCTAGGGCAGCCCCACGTAGAGTGAGCATAATGGCGATCTAGTACCTCCAGCATTGGAGGCACCATACCTCTGTACCAATCATTGAGGAACAGCAGGAAAGGGTTACTGTTGAACTGAATTTTTTAATTAAATTGAATTTATACACTGCCAAAGGAGCCAAGGACTATAGGACTCATGCCCTGCCTGTAGGCTGTCACTAGGCATTTGGTTGGTCATTGTGGGTAACACGATGCAGGACTACATAAGCTTTTGTCTGACTCAGGACAGCTCTTAGGTATTCACAGCTATCTAATTCCACTCAAAATATACTCTGGCCATGAAATTATACTACATAAACTACATCAACAGCATTCGAAATTCAGAAATATAATCTAGGTGACAAATGGCTCCTTAAACCAGGGTTACAGTTATGAAAGCGGAATGTCTAGTTGCCATTTTGGGGCCAGACGGCTCGAAAGTCATATTTTTATACAACTTTTTGGTTCCTGAAAATTCATTCTGATTGTGCAGATAAAATATAATGGATAAAAATCTATAGGATGTGTTGCTAGTCTGTGAAAACAGTCAAGATCCAATGATCTCCATGCACCTCGAAATGGTGAAAAAGTTGGCGTCATCCTGGCACCCGGGCATGTTCACTTGAACACTGATCAATCAATGTATTTAACCAGCACATAGTTCAATGTTATCTATGCCACCACCTACCTTCAATGGCTGTATGCAGTTAATGCAAGATAAATTTGGCTGTGTGCATATAAACAACGAGCAGGGGATGCAATTAGATTTCAGAACAGTGGAGTCTACCACAAAAATAAATCAACCACTCTAAGGTTACCATACTTAAACAAAGCTTATATAGGAAACAGAGAGAAGATAAGACTACTGAACAAAGCTGATGCACTCTTTTTATTTGAAAATACGAAAATCAGTATCTTACATGCAGCATTTGTGAGAGCCTTGGACTAACTCAAATGAATGCACTCACTGACATCAGTTGATGGGATCATCTATCTAATGTGTTCCAGGAAACCCTGGAGTTCCTCCAAAGTTCATCAGGGATTCTTCAATGAGGAAATCAGAAGGAGCGGGCAAGCCTCCTTTAACAACACCTTGCCCACCATCATCTGCCTTCCCTTTCAGTGTACAAGCTGTATGTTCTAGATTTATTTGTTTCATTATGAATCACTTCCCATGAAACAGCCTGAAGCAATTCAAGAATAAAAGCATCCACAATGAAACCTATATGAATACTATTTCTAAACCAAAGTAGACAAATGTTGGGATTTTTAAAAAAATCTCCACTAAAAAGGCTTGTTGGAAGAGAAAGGTCTTCAATAAATACTACTACTACTACTACTACTAATAATAATAATTTATTATTTATACCCTGCTCATCTGGCTGGGTTTCCCCAGCCACTCTGGGTGGCTCCCAACAGAATATTAAAAATAGAATCAAACATTAAAAACTTCCCTAAGCAGGTGCTAAGGCAAAGGGTAGATGGCCTACATCACATGGAATGGACCCCTGAGTGGGATGGCATCTGTGCAAGCCCCTCTCCTGCAGAATGTAGTGATCAATGGGATATATAAGGGGGTGAAATGATCTTTTAGGTGACCCGATCCCAAACTGCATCTGGCTTCATACACCAACACTAGCAACGTAAAGTTAGCCTGGTAGCTAGTTGGCTGCAGTCATCTCATGGGAGTGATAACAAGGCCTAGGAGGCAACCCCTCATTCTGAGGGCGGTAGAACTACAAGAAGGCTCCCTCTGCCGATCTTAATACCTGGAATATTATTGTGTACGGGAAGGGGGGCAGTCTCTCAGATATGTACCTAAAACATTCCCTGATATTCTGTAGCATGTAGAGGTTTCCTGAGAAGATAACGCCATGTGAAAGTGTTTGCTCAAATTCGAAAGTTTTAAAAAAGAACTGATCAATTGCATCTCGGCTGGGAACATACTCCTTTTCCTTTACACTTGGTAGAAATAGTATTTTCTTCTACTGGAGCGCTCTCTCTCTCTATATATATATACACACAGTCGTAACTTGGAAGTCAAATGGAATTCATTCCGGAAGTCCGTTCGACTTCCAAAATGTTCGGAAACCAAGGCACGGTTTCCGATTGGCCTCAGGAAGCTTCTGCAGCCAATCGGAAGCCACGTCGGACATTCGGGTTCCAAAAAACGTTCGCAAACCGGAACACTCACTGCCAGGTTTGCAACATTTGGGAGCCAAAACATTTGACTTGCAAGGAGTTCAGGATCCAAGGTGCGACTGTATACAGATAATTTTTTCAACACATTGTTGCCCCCTCCATGTGTCTTAGAAGGTAGGCTGTTGCCTATTACTGTTTGCATGACAATAAATTAATCCGAACATTAATTGTATGAATGCAATCAACATGCACTTTTTCTAAACTTAATGTAGCAATGGGAAGTGGGAAGCATTTAAGCCAGGTGTGGTTTTCCTGCAGCCTTCAAGTTGGTGAACTGAAGCTCCAATTAGTCGATTTTTGCACCTTCTTACTGAGACTTTGGCTGAGTGCATATAAACAATAGGACATGGGTGGCGCTGTGGTCTAAACCACTGAGCCTAGGGCTTGCCAATCAGAAGGTCGGCGGTTTGAATCCCCGCGATGGGGTGAGCTCCCGTTGTTCAGTCCCTGCTCCTGCCAACCTAGCAGTTCGAAAGCACGTCAAAGTGCAAGTAGATAAATAGGTATTACGCCGGCGGGAAGGTAAACGGCGTTTCCATGTGCTGCTCTGGTTCTCCAGAAGCGGGTTAGTCATGCTGGCCACATGACCCGGAAGCTGTACGCCGGCTCCCTCGGCCAATAAAGCAAGATAAGTGCTGCAACCCCAGAGTCGTCCAAGACTGGACCTAATGGTCAGGGGTTCCTTTACCCTTTTCCTTTCACCGAGACTTACAAAGCAACCTAGCCCTTCATAATAGCAACCCTTATAAATGTGTGACCGTCTTAATATTCCTGGCCACTTTTGCTCCAAAGCACGCCACCTCTTTAGATAGTTGCAATAAGGTTAATGTAGCAAGTAACGCGGGAAGCAACTGCCACTATTTACCTCAGATTGTGTCATAAAATCTTTAAAATCGTTAAAATACAAAGCCGTCACCTCTCAGCATCTTTATCGTAGAAAAACATCACATCCAGGTTTGCCTCCCAGAGGACATGACTAGGAGAGGGGCGGGAAACCATTTTACAGCCTGAGGGCCTCTCACCCTTTGGGGCAAGCATCCAGGGGCCACATTCCAGTGGGTCCAGAGGCAAAAGTGGGAAGAGCAACAAATGGAGATTTTGACCTTAAAACAAAAGGCTGGTGTCTCCGCAGGCCAAATACAACCTCTCTGCCCTTCCCCAGGCAAAGAATGAGACCCTATCTGAGTTCAAGGACCCACTGCAGCCAGGCAAAACCACTCAATGCTGCTACAAAGCAGGCATGTTGAGGGGCTGTGGCTGGGGAGAGTCCCATGGGCAACACAGAGAGAGGCTTGAGGGCTGCGTTTGCCCCCCAGGCCAGAGGTTTCCCTGCCCTCACACTAGGAAGTGATAGCCCTGGCCTTTAATATTAGGAGAAAGGTGAAAACTAAATAAAGATATGTTACCACACTAATTTCATATGTTCTCACTCAGGAGTGGGACTCTCCAAAAACGTTTTAGTTATCTCAGAAGGAAACAACCCTGAAGTGAACTTCAATGTGTTAGGCGCATGCTAACACCAATTATCACCCAATAATCAGAATACGAAACTGGTAGCAACAGTAACCACATGAGTCATCAATCTTTGTTAAGCGCCTCACATAAATACCCTAAAACAGGTTTCCTCAACCTTGGCCCTCCAGATGTTTTGAGACTACAATTCCCAGCATCCCTGACCACTGGTGCTGCTAGCTAGGGATCATGGGAGTTGTAGGCCAAAAACATCTGGAGGGCCGAGGTTGAGGAAGCCTGCTCTAAAACAACCCCCCCGTCTTTTCCACCGCTGTGACCCATCTTTGACCCCAGCACCGTGCACAGGAACCACTTTAAGTTGTTTACGGTTTACTATGCCCATTATTCTCCTCTCCCCCTTGGTTCTCAAACTTAATCCGTTCCAGAAGTCTGTTCCAAAACCAAAGTGTTCCAAAACCGAGGCACACTTCCCCATAGAAAGTAATGCAAAATAAATTAATCCGTTCCAGACTTTTAAAAACAACCCCTAAAACAGCAATACAACATGAATTTTACTATCAAACGAGACCATTGATCCATAAAATGAAAGCAATAAACAATGTACTGCAGTCACACAGTCAATCAGTCAGTAGCTGAACTGGGTTCCACACAGTCACAAAAACAAAAAAAAAGAGCCGCAAAAACAAAAATGCAAAATAGCAAAAACAGACAGACCTCAGCAATAACACTCAAAACAGAAGCTCAGAACAGAAGCATGGCACTCAAAATGGAGCACGTTCAGCTTCTGAAAAAGGTTCACAAACCGGAACACTTACCTCCAGGTTTGCAGTGTTTGGGTACAAAGGCATTTGAGAACCAAGGTACCATTGTACACTTTCCCTCCCTTTGTGCTCCCTAGTTTCTGCTGTTGTCCCTCCTTTCACTACTCTTAAGAAAATGAAAGTCACCAGGAAAAAACCATTAAAAATGGGACATGGCCCTGGTGAGAGCCACGTTAGGTTCATCTGTGACCTAATTACGAGTCCTGATTTATTAGAAGAAGACCTTTACCCAAATTTATTTTCAAAGGTGGATAAGGTTCACAGGTGAGGACTATGCTATCTCATGTAAATAATAATAATAATAATACCAAGAACCAATATACATTTCCCAATGGAAAGCTGTAGACATTGGTCACAGGGGGAAAAGGAAATTAAAAAATGACCCAGTCCCAAAATAGGAGCACTATCATGGGGTGCTAAAGATGCAGTGACAATCTATGACTTCTAATGTCAACAACAGCAGTTTGAAACTGTGAACCTGCCCTTTAGACGCTCCGCAGAATAATTCTGCCTAAAGATGGTTGCAAGAGGTACAGACAGCAGCCTGCTCCCTCTTCCCTTCTCCCCACCCCCCACCCTCACCGCAAAGTTACACATCTCCCTAATCGTTTCTCTGTTCAATAACCTCCGGAGACCTGAAGTCTGCAGCTATTGCACAAAGCAGCTGTCAAGAAAAGAAATCCAATTAAACTTTTTGCCATGGGGCTGACCCCGATTGTAGGCTGCAGTATAGACCAGACAGTGTCACTCAAGCATTAGGTAACACACAAGAACAGGCAAGGCACTTCACACAGCAGGCACAATGCCACACTCTTTGACTCCAGTTAATTAATGCAGCATAATTACAGCCCTCCTGATTCTAACCTCTTGTCACAACGGCCAATTCAAATCACCACTGCATATATGAAGCACATACTGAAATTATCATTAAGAGCAATTTGATCATTTTATTACAGAAGATGAAATGTGTCCTGTCTCCAAAGCCAGAAGATCAGGGACATGCTATGGGTTTGTGCACACTGGTGACGAGTTACCTCTTCCCTTCCTATGGTTTTCCTCAAGCAGTTTTGTTGGTATCGGCACTGACCATGGTTTAAAGCGGGTTTGCCTCCAAACAATGATTAATGTCACTGGGAAGCTGCAATTAAAGTAAGCTATGGGGAGGAAGAAATTCGTGCAGAAAAGGGGAGGAGTGAAGGGATGCAAACCCCTGCAACCCTAAACCGTGGTTTGGCGATCTGGACCGCCATGTCTGCACAGAACCTTAGACTCTGACTATAAGGATAGCAATAAAGGCATACTGTTGGATAACTAAACCATGATGGCATGCCATGTATGTGTCCTGCCCAAAGGATGTAGCATTTAGAATACTCTTGGTCTGTCTGGAATAAAATTAAAGTCGCTACATATCACTTGAAAGCAAAAACAAGCAAAAGCAGATTGCATGCAATGTTGCAACTGTAAACACGTTTGATGGAAGCTTCCTCCCCTAGCTTCCTTCCTACATACACCATCACTCAAGAAACCCAATGCAGGAATCTGCCTTTTAGAAAGAGGGAGTATTGCTCCATTTAGCTTAGTAGAGCAGTAGCTCTCCAAGGTTTCAGGTAGGAGGCATTTCCAGCTTTACCTGGAGATTCCAAGGAATGAACCTGGGACTTCTGCATGAAAAGCAGATGCTCTACCACTGAGCTATGGCTGTTCCCAAAGGGTCTAACAAAAGAATTCACTTTGTTTTTGGTGCTCACAGCAAACACCAAAAACAAATCACATGGAAGGAGTGCGCAATGTGAATCTCTGTTACACATGCAAAGAGCTAGAAGCCACAACTTATCAGGGTTTTCCACCACACCTCCACACGGAAATGCTTATACAGTATGCTTTTCTCAGCCATGACCAAAGGATAAGTGGTCACACTCTTGTCAGCACAGACGCAAAATGCATGTAGACATTTTGTCAATGCACAGAGCAGCTGTGAATTCCACAGAAGCCAACAAGAGTCCACAAAGTGAGGGCATTTAGAACTGGAGTGAGATACCGCCTTAAGTACTTTGGGAGGAATTCAGTGTCGTGCTAAGGCGACTGCTCTATCAGTGCAAGCATTCCTGCTTGCCGGACAATCTGCTGTCTCCCCTCTACACAAACCTGCTATTCCAGGGTTTCTCCTGACTCTCCCAAGCAGATTTGGAGATAATGGAGGGCAGGGGGAGGCGGAGAAATCATGCAGGGGGAGGAGAGGGGATCAAGTCCCATTGCACTAGTTTCTGATAGCACAACAACTTACTTGAATCTGGTCCTTTGTCTGAAAAATGCTTATTGACTAAAGGGAGTAAAACTTCCCTTGCTCCCAAAGAGCAAGGATGCCTTAATTTACTAAAGCAGAATGCCGCAGATAAACTTGCACATGATTAGTCTATTAAATCGTGAAAAATCACCTCCCCCCCAATGCTTACCTCCCTGTCTTGCATTCAGGAAGTTCCTGGTTCAATTCCCAACATCTGCCACACCATAAACTTAAAGCGCATCCAGCACACATTTGAAGTACATGACTTCTCCCAAAGAATCCTGGGAACTGTAGCTTCCCCTGGAAAAACTGGAAAAACTACAGTTTGTAATGCATGTGCTTTAAATGTGTAGCTGGATGTGCTTTGAATGTATGGGGTGGCTCTGCCCAAGAACTCTGCCTGCGACCTTGTACAGCCATTGCCCATCAGACTTGACAATATTGGGAATAGAATGGATGGACAAACTTGGCAGGAAGCAGATTCCTATAGGGACGGTTTCACTTTAGCAACAGCACCCTTTTATTAACCTTCCTCATTCACAGGAACACAGGAACCTCCTGCCTTGTACTGAGACAGACCTCCATCTAGCTCAATATTGTCTACACGGGTGAACAGCAGCTCTCACGGGTTTCAGGCAGCCTTACCTGGAGACACTGGGGATTGAACCTGGAAACTTCTGCATGCACAACAGATGCTCTCCCAATAAAACTGCTAATACATTTGCAATGCTAAGCAGGGACTGGTGTGCTTTTGAATTGGATGGGGGGGAGGGTCCTATGTTGAGATTCCGGCAATGCAGGGGGTTGGACTAGATGACCCTTGCGGTCCCTTGCAACTCTACAATTCCGTGATTAAATAAAGAGGCTGCAATCCTAGCCATGCCTAAATTTAGGACTAAGCGCAGCTGAATTAAGATGAGCATACGCCCAGGTGAATGGGGTTAGGATAGCAGCTTTAGAGAGGAGGGGAGCAAAACGGGAATTCCAAGACATTCCACCCTTTGTGCGGGGATCAAAGCGACCCGCCCCCGCTCCGTTTCCCTCCCCGCACAGAACAAGATGCAAAAGGACTCTGAGCAACCAGCTCCCCCTTCTAAGGAAAAAAAAGACCCGTCCGCTGCACTCACATGCCCTGCTGAAGTTGCAGCGGCGCGCTGGGCGAGACCACCAGGCTGCCAAGGATGCACACGAGCCACGCTGCGCTCGGGGTCATCTCGGCGGGGCTCCGAGGTCGAAAGCCGCCGGCTGCAGGTCTTCAGCTGCCCGTCCCGGGCTAGCGCTGCTGCAGAAGAGCAGCGAGCTGCGGGAAAGTTGGCATCGGGGAACTTCAGAGGGGACGGTCGCTGCGCGTTCGGATTAAGAGGGATTAAGGAGGTTTAACAAAAAATAAAATTATTTTTTAAAAATCGGGAAGCGCTGCTGCACCGGCGGCGTACGGGGGAAGCAACCGATGAGGGCAATTTCCTTCCAGCTTTCTGCGTCTCTCCTCGCCGCGCAGCTCGCCAGCCCCGCGCAAGCAACAGGCTCCGCTGAAGCTCCACCTCCCAGGCGCAGCTTGCAGCCCTCCAAATCATTTAAAGCCTCCGCCGAGCCAATCACGCCTTTCCAAGTTCCTCGCCCCGCCCACAATTTGGGTCGGGGGTGGGAGGCGCGCTCTGCTGGGATTCCTAGAAAAAGAAGAAGAATCCGTCAACGGGGATGGACTATCTAATACTGAATTTACAGCCCCACGTGGGGGAGTCAGGCTCATTTGCTTCCCCTTCGCAGTCGATCAAGTCGTGTCTAACTTTGCACTGGCTGCGTAGAATAAATATGACGCTTCGGTCGCTTCACCGTCAATAAATTCCTCCCTAATTCTGCATCCATAAATGATAGATTCTGCAACTGGAATTGTGTAACCGTAGTACTGTACACATATTTACTGTTTCTGGCTGTGAAATGGGGAGGGGGAAAAATAATTTCAGCCTGCCTAGATAGATGATATTTATTTATTTATTTATTTATTTATACATACCCCGCCCATCTGGCTGGGTTTCCCCAGCCACTCTGGGCGGCTTCCGACAAAACACTAAAACACAATAACCTATTAAACATTAAAGGAAGACATCTACTTCTGCTTCATTGACTATGCAAAAGCCTTTGACTGTGTCGACCACAGCAAACTATGGCAAGTTCTTAAAGAAATGGGAGTGCCTGATCACCTCATCTGTCTCCTGAGAAATCTCTATGTGGGACAAGAAGCTACAGTTAGAACTGGATATGGAACAACTGATTGGTTCAAAATTGGGAAAGGAGTACGGCAAGGCTGTATATTGTCTCCCTGCTTATTTAACTTATATGCAGAATTAATCATGCGAAAGGCTGGGCTGGATGAATCCCAAGCCGGAATTAAGATCGCCGGAAGAAATATCAACAACCTCAGATATGCAGATGATACAACCTTGATGGCAGAAAGTGAAGAGGAATTAAAGAACCTTTTAATGAGGGTGAAAGAGGAGAGCGCAAAATATGGTCTTAAGGCATCCATTCTTAAGGAAATCAGCCCTGTGTGGTTCACAGATCGTGAAGCTGAGGCTCCAATACTTTGGCCACCTCATGAGAAGAGAAGACTCCCTGGAAAAGACCCTGATGTTGGGAAAGATGGAGGGCACAAGAAGAAGGGGACGACAGAGGACGAGATGGTTGGACAGTGTTCTCGAAGCCACAAACATGAGTCTGACCAAACTGTGGGAGGCAGTGGAAGACAGGAGGGCCTGGCCTGCTCTGGTCCATGGGGTCACAAAGAGTCGGACACGACTAAACGAATAAACAAAACAATTAAACATTAAAAGCTTCCCTAAACAGGGCTGCCTTCAGATGTCTTCTAAAAGTTTGGTAGTTATTTTTCTCTTTGACATCTGGTGGGAGGGCGTTCCAGAGGACGGGTGCCACTACCGAGAAGGCCCTCTGCCTGGTTCCCTGTAACTTGGCTTCTCGCAGCGAGGGAACCGCCAGAAGGCCCTCAGCGCTGGACCTCAGTGTCTGGGCAGAACGATGGAGGTGGAGACGCTCCTTCAGGTATACTGGACCAAGGCTGTTTAGGGCTTTAAAGGTCAGCACCAACACTTTGAATTGTGCTCGGAAACGTACTGGGAGCCAGTGTAGGTCTTTCAAGACCGATGTTATGTGGTCTCGGTGGCTGCTCCCAGTCACCAGTCTAGCTGCCGCATTCTGGATTAGTTGTAGTTTCCGGGTCACCTTCAAAGGTATCCCCACATAGAGCTCATTGCAGTAGTCCAAGCAGGAGATAACTAGAGCATGCACCACTCTGGTGAGGCAGTCTGCGGGCAGGTAGGGTCTCAGCCTGCGTACAAGATGGAGCTGATAAACAGCTGCCCTGGACACAGAATTGACCTGCGCCTCCATGGACAGCTGTGAGTCCAGAATGACTCCCAATAAATAAACAGAAAAACAGACTTGGAAGAGGAATTTATAAAGGTTATATCATCAGCCTCAGGAAAACTGCACATTCTCTTTTGTTTTGGGGTGCAACTTCAGCCAGCCAGCCAGACCCTGTTCTCTAGCAGTAGCAGTCCATGCATGAAGACCAATCTAGCTGTCTTCCAGCTTGGCAAGGCCCTACCTTGCTCAGAGATTCTGCTAGTATGGGCACAGGTGGGGAAATAACCCCACTGAGCTCTGTAACCCTAAGGCTTCAGCAGGTGGGATCAGCATACTTCCTCAACCCATGAATCAGCCCCAGGGCACTAAGCAGCATTCTGTCTTCTTGGAAGTGATCCATTCTTTCAAATGAAACTTATGTGTCATGGAAGACATACCAGTAAGGAAGCTAGACAAGGTTGATTGTTTCTCTTAGACAGGAAGGAAACAAAAACTGCTGACTCTAGCCAGATATAACCAAGCCTAGTGCCATCTAGTGACCAAGTAGCAAAATTACACTATCCACCAGGAATGGTCCACCCATAAGGCAAGGGGAGGCAACCATCTTTGATGGCAATATTTACAGGGGCAGCAGATTCCAATGTTGATCTTCCTCCCCCCCCCTTTTCTCCCTGATGTAGGACTTCCCTCAACCCTTCTTCCATGGTAGGCACAATTTTGGGGTCTGACTCAGGTGCCAAAATATATTAGCCTGGCCCTGCTATGCACACAATGTGCTTAGGATTGCTTCCTGAACGGCACACCCAGACAAAATAAGACTTGTAATACAGTGGTACCTCTGGTTACGTACTTAATTCATTCCGGAGGTCCGTTCTTAACCTGAAACTGTTCTTAACCTGAAGCACCACTTTAGCTAATGGGGCCTCCCGCTTCCACCACGCCGCCAAAACACGATTTCTGTTCTCATCCTGAAGCAAAGTTCTCAACCCGAGGTACTATTTCTGGGTTAGCAGAGTCTGTAACCTGAAGCGTCTGTAACCTGAGGTACCACTGTAGTTTGTTCACTCTTCTGCAATGTTAAAGGATCAACTAATCTCATTACCTTTTGGAAAGCAGAGGGGTTTTTTAGTCGCCTTTTATTTCTTTAACTCTGGTTAGGGGTGGACAAGGAAAACACCAGAAGTGCCTGCAGGATGAGGCCAACGACCCATTTAGGCCAGTATTCTGTTGTCATAGTGGACAACAAGGTGCTTATGGGAAGAACAAGGTACTTATGTGAGAACAACCGCAGGAGGATTTTGGATAAAGCCATAAACCTCTATTTTCAAGGCTGGATGTTAATTACAGCTGATATATCATCTGAACCTGGAACTAACTTGAAGCTTCCTGTGAGACAAAGAAAAAGGAACAGCCAAAAATACACCAGTGATCATTTTCCCTTAGCAGTTTACTGGCAAAGATTGATTAGATTCCCAACAAGGTGACTTTCAAAAATAGAGTTGAAAATATTAATCAAATAATTGCTCGATGGTTGTTTGTTTGTTTTTTAATTGATATTTTTAATTTCTTTTTTTCTATTTGTTGTTGTTTAGTCGTGTCCGACTCTTCGTGACCCCATGGACCAGAGCACGCCAGGCATTCCTGCCTTCCACTGCCTTCTACAGTTTGGTCAAACTCATGCTGGTAGCTTCGAGAACACATTTTGCAAATGTTCATGTGCAACTAGATTCTATGCATATTTATATGGAAGGAAGCCCCATTGTGTATAATGGGGCTTACTCCTGAGTAAATGTGTATAGGATTGCAGTAAAAAACAAAAACACTAGCAAGCAACAGATTCTCCAGCAGAATGAAAATGATGGGGCTGGCTGTGGGCCCCTCCAGATTGGTTGTTTTGTGTGTGGAAGTATTCTGTGACATGTCATTGATGCAATACTAGTGAATTAGTGGTGGATTTCTACTGGAGCATCCATATCACATTCCACTTTATTAGTTGTTCTGCGATGCGCCCCCAATGTTACTGCATTATTGCCATCTGGAGGGGGACTCTTGCACAATAGCAGGGACAAAAAACAGCTCGGGACATTTGTGGCATAAAAGGTTACAAGATTTCAGCAGGAAGCTATAGGGCATGTGCTAACTGGAAATTAAGCAGTATGCCTGCCCTTTTGCAGACACAAAGAGTATTGAAAGAGGGATCATGTATAAATGCGCTGCTACCATCATGAGCGGGACGCTAGGGCTTGCCGATCAGAAGGTCGGTGGTTCGAATCCCCGCGACAGGGTGAGCTCCCGTTTCTCGGTCCCTGCTCCTGCCAACCCAGCAGTTCGAAAGCACGTCAAAGTGCAAGTAGATAAATAGGTACCACTCTGGCGGGAAGGTAAACAGCGTTTCCATGCACCACTCTGGTTCTCCAGAAGCGGCTCAGTTATGCTGACCACATGACCTGGAAGTTGTACGCTGGCTCCCTCGGCCAATAAAGCAAGATGAGCGCAGCAACCCCAGAGTCGGTCACGACTGGACCTAATGGTCAGGGGTCCCTTTTGTGGAAGCAGAGGGCTTCAGTTGTCTGATGGAACCCTTAAGCTGTGCCTCCATCTATGCTCAGCACATATATTTGAAAATGGACACAAATATTACAAAATGCTATTATGTCTCCAAAGGAAACCAAACCTGGGTAAGTGCTGAAACCTGGAACTTTTCACCACTGCCAGAAGCAAAATGTAATAGTCTCTTTCTTTCTTTCTTTCTTTCTTTCTTTCTTTCTTTCTTTCTTTCTTTCTTTCTTTCTTCCTCTCTCTCTCTCTGTGTGTGTGTGTGTTTATGGACAGCGAGTCTTGGTATGTTATATGCATTCCTCTATCTGCAAGCATAAAACGTCTAGAATATTATGCAAAGAGCCTTTGAATAGCTATATCAGAAATAGAACCCAAGCTCTCCATAGTCCACTAGCATACCTCCTAGCATACTTATGAGCAACAACTACTAAAAGTGTAAGATAAATATTTTTTGCTGTTTGATAACCAAGCTCATTTCTCTTTATCCCCCGAAAAGCCGTATCTCTGAACACCTTCTCCAATCCACTTTTCACAGAGGATGTTTCCATATATAACACAGAGCAGAGTTGGAACTTTCTCATCTCCAGGGAACAGAGGCAATGAAGATGGATGAATAAGCCTTAATTTTACGCTCTCAAGGGTGGCGGATATTTGCATCTGCGGTAGTTGCCGGGAAATGCAAATAAAATAATTGGAAATGGGGTGAGTTGGATGACCATGCTCCACAAAATGAGCACACTGCTGCAGTAGGAAATGACAACCATTTTACACATGCTCTTGACATTTATTTATCTACGGCTTTATAAGACCCAAGCCCAGCTATGTCCAATTTCAACAAATTGATGTTAGACTTACACTCCCGGCTAAGAGTGCTGTGTTTCTTTAGTAGTTGGTGGCAATATGCAATCACTGCTGCAATCTTATGAAAAGGCGCACACAACAATAACAGGGCTGCCCTATGTAAGATTACCTGTGGATTTGAGACACAGGCTGTATGCAGGCGCCTTTACAGTAGGGATGAATGTATCTGTCAACAGCAGTTTCTCCAATCTTTTTTCCCAATCTTAAATTGAGTTTCCTGCCTTTTCGTGTCAGTTTTTTTTTTTGTTTTATTTATTTATTTTTAAATTTCCCTTTGAAAATTCACCAGCGTTTTAGTGCAATTTTCTCTTAATATTCCCATTTTTGTATGCAGTTTTGCCTCTCTCACACATTTTTGGTCGTATCTGCATTCATATGTACACTTTCGCCTGATATTTATGCATTTTTGTACACATTACTTAGCTGGAGAACTGTATTGCAAAATTCAGAGAAGTGGAAATTCTGAAGAATGGCTGTATTTAAGTTGTGCATCCTTCTGGAAAGTATGAATTTTGTTGTTGTTGTTAAATTAAATTTTTATATTGCCCTTCATCTGAGGATCACAGCGCCATTTTCAATGTAAAAACACAAAAATAATGTAACATAGTAACAAAAAAATAACCTCCACACACACACAGCTAGCTTAAAAGGCCATAGAAGGATCAATGGGCTGACTCAATATTTATACATTTAGATAATTATTTTGTTTATTAAATTTCCAAGCCACCCTTCATCCTAGGATCACAGGAGTGTTTACAGTATAAAACCACAAAAATACCTAACATAGTAAAAACAAACAAACAAGAACAATACCCACCCACAGTTTAAGACTGTCAATAGATTGGCTAATTAGCCAACGGCCTGGGAGAAATGGGATGTTTTTGTCTAGTGCCTAAAGATATGCCACAAAAACTCCAAACCCCTTGGGAAGAGCATTCTGCAAGCAGGGAACCACTGTAGGAAAGCCCCATTCTAGGGTTGCCACCCTCTCATGGAGGAGGCACACAAAGAAGGGCCTCAGACGATGATCTCGGGTTCTAGGCCAGTTCAAATAGAGAGAGGCCTTCCTTGAGGTATCACAGTCCTGAGCCGTATATGGTTTTAAGGTTTACCTTTAAATGTGAACTGAAACAAATTCATCCCCCATCCTTGCGATAAACAATGGTTCTGCCCCATCCTTCACAGGAGGCGAAGGAGTGATGGAGAGCAGAGCTCACTCTACAGCCTCCTCACACCCTATTCGCAGATACAGCAATAGTAGGATGACGGGGGATGCGGGTGGCGCTGTGGGTTAAACCACAGAGCCTAGGACTTGCTGATCAGAAGGTCAGCGGTTCGAATCCCTGCAATGGGGTGAGCTCCTGTGGCTCGGTCCCAGCTCCTACCAACCTAGCAGTTCGAAAGTACGTCAAAGTGCAAGTAGATAAATGGGGAATACTTTCTCCAGTGGGAAAGTAAACGGTGTTTCCGTGTGCTGCTCTGGTTCGCCAAAAGCGGCTTATTCATGCTGGCCACATGACCCAGAAGCTGTACGCCGGCTCCCTCGGCCAATAAAGCGAGATGAGCACCGCAACCCCAGAGTCGGCAAGGACTGGACCTAATGGTCAGGGGTCCCTTTACCTTTAGGATAATGACATGCCTATTGATATTCCTAGGGAATCTATTCTCATCATAAGCCTTGGATTTATGTTTTGAATTTAATAACATGTTATCTCACAGCCTGTATAATTGGTGACATTTCTTAAGATACGTATACCTTGTGTATACCTCCTAATGTCAGAATAGACATCAAGAACACATTTGAACCAGGAAACAGCATGCTAGCAGCGTGGAGCCTGGGGAATGGTGTGTGGCCTGGGAAGAGTCCCAAGGGTAGGGTTGCCATATGTCCGGGTTTTCCTGGACATGTCCTCTTTTTGGGATCCAGAAGGTTATTTGTATGGTTAGGCAGTGTGCTGATGGTGTGCCCATGCACTCACAAGCACATGTGTGCTCCCTTCTCCCCTGGCAAATGTGTCCTCTTTTTTGCTCTTCGGAATATGGCAACCCTACCCCAGGGCCAAAGAGAGGGCTGGGGGCCACATTTGGCCCCAGGACTGCTGTTCCCCACCTCTGGCTTAGCCAGAACAAGCAAAAATAATAAATGTTTCTGGTCCTGCTGCCACCCAGAGTGAGGCTATGGTTTGGTATGGCATTACATGCAGACTGGGCCAATACAAGTCAGCTTCATAGGAGCAGCCGAGGAGACTTTAAATGCAAAGACACACAGACAAAAAAATTTCTCTCTGTTTCAGAAAGCTTAATACCCCATTATTTCCTTGCCCTCCTTCCCACTCTTCCCAGTGTGAAATGTAGCTTCGCTGAGATGACACAGTTAATGGATAACCTCTGGGCAGGCCTATTGTATGTTTTCCCTCTGTGTGCGCTGGAGTTACAAACCAAATTGCTTTATGGATGCAGCAGCGGGCTGTACGCTGCCTTTTCGTGCTGACAGGCTTCTTTGTTGATGATTCTCTTTTTAGCATAGTTTTCTCCATACATCACCAATTGTCTTTTGTTTTTCCACAGTTGGGAAGACTGAGCTAATCCATATATTACCACAAAACTTCAGTCCCTCGCTGTGTGATAGATCCCAAGCATGCTATTCTGATCTATTGCCTCCCTGCCACATCTCAAGCTCATTTGTTCACTACTTACTTTGGTTGCTGCTTACTTAATATTGTTCGCTTGCCCTGAATTGTAAATGCTGCATCATAATGTCATAAAGGGATGCATAGCATAGGAGCTGAGAGTATAAGCCATGGGCAGAAAAACCACTGATATGCATCTCAGAGTGCTTCCAGATGCCCTGTTTAATGAGCATTCGTTCTGATTTGCTTGCAGAGAGGTTAGATGATGTTGCGCCAGAGCCATTGTTATCCCACACTTTCCAGTACATTTTCCTACCACTTATTGCAAAACATCTGATCAGTTGGGGGAAGTGGGTTTGTTGAGCAAGATCTCCCAATTGACACTAATTGTGCAAACTAAATTTGCTGGTATGGGATTGAATCCCATCCCAAAAGAGCAAGAGTCTGGAAGTGCCCTTAGTTATTAATGTGCTAAATGGTTTCCTCGGTGGCTGCATCTGTAATATGTGGGTGGTGGTGATGCTAAGAGACAACAACAACAACAACAACAACAACAACAAAGCTCACATCTCCCTCCCTTGGATCTTTCCTTCAGGCCACCCAGAGAATTGGGAAATAGTTGAGTAGTGGGAGAAGTACCAGCACCCTTTTCCCATGGGTGGTCATGTGTCCTACTCTACAGAGGATGGTCCTCCATTGAAGAATAGTAAAGACTAAGTCTGGTGTATGATTAATAACACAAATCAAAAGAAGACCAGGGACTTTGAAGTTACCCATCAATGTTGTTGGCATCTGTCTGTCTCGGGTGCCTTTGGAGGTGAAGTCAAATGGTTGGAGTTTTATAGCGCTTGCTGTGGCTGTAGAGACCAATATGGGAGAAACATGTTTCGTTGCAAATGGAGCAGATGGAGGCACCCAGTTTGGCTGTTGCAGGTGTACCATGGCGTTTCTTCTTTCTGTGCTCCTCCCCATGGTCATTTTTCCTGTGAGAGGAATGATGGTCTCTAGGCGGTCATGTGAAACTCCACACGGGGGAGTTAATCATAGAACTGTAGAATTGGAAAGGACCACAAGTGTCATCTAGTCCAACCCCCTGCAATGGGGGAATCTCAACCCATGGTTCCCCATCCAATTTGAAATCATACTGGACCCTGCTTAGCTTTGCAAATGTGCTAGCTGTTTTGCCAGCCTTCATGCCACATTTGCAGACATTTTTGCAACACAGAGTTGATCTGCCAATGGGCCTGGAAGCCATCCTTCCATTTTCCATTCTGTGGACATGCTTTAATATCTGTTTTTTGCTTTTTTTAAAAAAAAATTAATTAAATCTTCACTCTGATTTTTGAAGTCTGTTTCTTTATAAACACAAAAAATAGGTGATGTTCTATCTGAATTGCATGTTTATGGTATGGTTGCATTTAAAGTGCATTGTTTCCATTCTGTGAGCCACCCAGTGGTCTTTTAGCTGCAGGACAGCCTTGCAGGACAAGATAAAGGCAGACTTCCGGGTTAGCGCCATCGCCGAATGGCGGACTCCCTCCGAGCTCCGGAGGGAGTCTGCTCGGCAGGGGCTGGGTCCTACCGCGCCGGCGACGCGGGGACCCTTAAAAACCACGGGCACGGAGTCCGTGGACATGGGTGACTCGGCTTGCACCATTAGCGCCCTCCCGACTCGTGAAGGAGCCTTTTAAAGGCTTCGGATCGGGTGCCGGGAGTGGCGTGGTGCTTTGAGTCCACTGCTTTCCTGCCGAGCGCAGCCGCATGCCATTCGACGGAGAGCGCTGACTTCTTCTATTGAAAATTTGGACTAGTAACAACACCCCGTGAGTAATTGGGAAACCGGGTTCAAAATTTTGGATTTGGCACGAGCGGGGCGATTTAAAAGGAAGTCAATCCCCCTATTGTAAGCATTCCAAAACAAGGACTGGGTAACCAAGGTCCAAAGGGAAGTATGTCTCTGATAAAAATCATTAATTTCACGATGGGAAATTATAAGAAATGTGCTGGAGGAGAAGAGTGGAGGGTGAGAAGAAAATGCAACCCCCCCCCCTGGGAACCGGGGCGATTCGTGGAGCCTGGTGAAGAGAGACGGAGACTTTGACAGCTGTCAAAGTGGCTGTCAAAGCTGGAGAATATAAAGAGGACTTTGTTATGAGGACCTTGCTGGTTAATTTTGTTACAATTTGCTATAATATGGATATAAACTGTTGGAAAATAAGTAACAATTTGACTTTTGGATTAGAGGATACAAAGTTATTACAATCCCCCTAGAGGGGTTTCGGGATACTACAAGAACGGTCGTAAGTGGAAAAATACCCTGGGATTCGCACAGGATGTGTTATCTTCTGGGAAAGCTGCAAAACTGAAAGAGTATTTTGTCTACAGAGGAAGACAATGGAACTTTTTATTGAAGAAAGGAAGGGACTGGACGTAAGTTTTTGTTCCTGAATAACAAACCTCTGCAGAGACACTAGATTTCTGAATTAGAAAGTTTTAGCAGCTGAACAGGACAAGAAACCTGAGAAAGTGAGGAATAAGAAGAATAAAGGACTGATTACGACACGGAAAGAACAACGGGAGGAGTGGTAAAGATCAAGGAAATTAAAGGCTTTTGTTAGATTGGACAATTGAAGTCAAATATTATTTAAATTAATAAACTAAAAGAAAACCGGCAAGATGGAATCGGGGAGAAATCTGGTCATGAAATGAGACTTCCAAGCTGATAATGTATAGACTGATGGACATGGGGAATTCAAACCGGGGAAGGGGGGGGGAGATTTGAAATCCAAAGGCTGTGTAACCATTTTTTGAATTTTTCTATATCTTTTATTTTCTATTTCTTTACATAACTTACGCATGTTATTTTACTTTGATCGGACGTGTTTAAAAAAAAAAGGGAATTTGTGGAAGGAACTGGGGTGGATCTTGGGGAAAATCTTTTTTCTTTTTCTGTTAATGATGTGGGACGGTGGTAAGATTTGTACAATTCAATCTGGATAGTGGGTTAAACAAATTAAGTTTTAAATTGGGAGTGAGAGCTTGTAGAACCAAATTAAGGAAAGGGGAATACAATTGGGGGAGGGGGAGTCCCAGAAAGTAGGGAATGAAAGTAAGGTTTTTAAATATCTTCTTTCTTTTGTTTTTTTTCTTTGTATTTTTATATTTTTGGAAACTTTAATAAATATGATTTAAAAAAAAAAAAAAAGGACAAGATAAAGGCAAACAAACATTGATGCTTAAAATCTCTGCTACCGTTGGAGTACTCTTGCCTTCTGTGCAATCTTGGTGCAACTGAAGAGCCAGGCAGTTTAGGATTTTACAATAAATTGCTTACGACTTTCTTACTCTTTCTAATTTGTTAGGGGTTCAGTTTAATAAGTGGGCCTCGAGGGCAACCATTACTCTATTAATATTTGATTAGGAACACAGAGCTCCATAAATCAAAGGCCATGGTGTCAACTGTCCGCGGAGATAAAAAGTTGGATCATTCGTTTATTTCTCATGAACTTGTTTTGCAGAAGCAAATATTGCAGCACCTGAGGAGGAAATCAGGCTGCAGATTAAAAACTGAGGTACACGCTATGGCCATACATTAAGTTCACTGCCCAGGGGAACCCATGACAGAGAGTTAGGCTCAGCCACAATGCAGGAAACAGAGAGGACCTCCTCCAATACAAACTGCCCCTACAGTTTCAGAAATGTGAGCTGGTCGTCTTCAAATTCCTCCATGTTTGGAGGTGCCTGTGACCAACTCCTGATGTGGAGGTTGTGACAGATTTTAGGGCTGGAGCAGAAGAACTAGGGGATTCTGGTACTGGGGATTAATGAGTTCAAAGGGGAGTTGTCAACCCAACAAAGTCCCAGGGGAGACTGAGAGACCTGTAGTAACTTCTAGGAATGGGCAAATCTATCAGTTTCTGCTTTTCTCAGTTTCTTATTTTTCCAGTCTTAAACTCAGCTCTCCATGTATTCACAACAGGCTGCATTTTTTTAAAAAAAACACACACATGGAAATTCACCAGCATTTTAGGGTGAATTTCTCCTAATACATATGCTTTTATGCAATTTTGACTAACAAACATCTTTTTCTTTTACAATGCAATTTTTCCTAAAGTAATGCATTGTTGTGTGTTGTTTTCAGTCATATTTTCATTTTTATGCACACCTTATTCTAGTAAATGCATTTTTGTAGACATGACATGGCTGGAGAGCAGCATTTCAAAATTTGGAGAAGCGCCAATTTCACAGGATGGCTCTCCTATTGTTTTGGGAGGCGCAAATCAGGTTGATTCAAATTGAATCAAAATCCACCCCATCCCTAGTCACTTCAAGTTTGCCCTCTACGTGACCCTGGTGGGGCTGCTGATGGGTTCTTGGGGTTCTTAGGTGGGCGAATCCACACAAGGCATCCCTGGATGGAGCTCCTCAGGCTACCTTTAAACTACTGCAGGCTTGTCCGAGGATTCAGTAGGAGAAGCATTCTGCATGGGCAACCCAAGCATCTTTTCCCAAAGAGTTCCCCCAGAGTCTGGGAGAACAGAAGACCAGGGTGGCATTCATAAGGAGCATGGGCTTCTTTAACGCTTCTCCACAGCTTCAGAACAGCATTTAAAGACTGTGCATTTAGTTCCAGGTTTTAGGCAGCCTTGGGTCCTCCATCCTCTACTGATGGGTCTTGGTGGCAGTGGTGGGTGACAGTAGTAGCATCAACTCTACAGTCTGTGCTAAATGGCTGGGTCTAGCTTCCTTTGACATTTCCCACAACACTGCATAGTACAGTGGTACCTTGGATTAAGAACCTAATTCATTTTGGAGGTCCATTCTTAACCTGAAACTGTTCTTAACCTGAAGTACCGCTTTAGCAGTTGCCACCACGCTGCAATTTTTGTTCTCATCCTGAAGCAAAGTTCTTAACCCGAGGTACTATTTTTGGGTTAGCGGAGTCTGTAACCTGAAGCGTCTGTAACCTGAGGTACCACTGTATCATTACTATGTTGAGTGCCCTGTGGGGCCCAAACAGCCGTTCAGGAATTACACATGCTAATGCAGAACCTGCCACTCCATCCCTTCTGATCTTACAGCTTAAAGACCTTTCTGCTTGGGTTGGCAGGTTTTTAAATATATATTTGCATTACTACTTTTTGTTTCTGTTGGTTTTAGAGACGAGCAAGCTCACCTTGGATTAGCTCGAATGTAGTCCATGTTCTTCAAAACAAACAAACAAACAAAACCAGGAGAAAGGCAGATAATTTTTCTGAGCCAATCCAGGCCTTTGAAAATGACTACCCACCCTTCCCCTACCATCTACCTGCTGCCAGCCCCTCCTTCAAAAAGAAACCCCTTCCCTTACCTGGCAAAGTAGCAGCTGTGGGTGCACATGGAGAGGAGAGATATTTGTCCCATTCATCCATCCATAATTGTCTCAAAAGCATGCTGATTAGGCACTGTTCCATGGCCCTAAACCCAGAGGTCTTTTTTTTTTTAGGGTTTGTAGTTCTCCCAAAATCTACTGCAACACTCACTTCTTTTCTTTTATAGATATTGTTATGAGTTTGTGGGTGCCAGACTCTCCTGTGTTATGGGTTTGTGGGTGTAAGAGACTTAATCCGTGGACCCAGCCAATGTTTAAAGCTCAGTAAGGCAGGCTAGTTAATTGCCTGGGAGATGAGCCATTAAGAAAGGAAAGGAAAGGCGATGAGCCATTAAGAAAGCGAGAGATGGGGCTCTGGGCCCCTCCCTCAACTCAGTTAGTTAGAAGACAAAGCCAGAGTTGAGAGTTGGCTGTGATGAGACCTGGGTTGGGGGTGCGGGAGGTTGCAGGCTGGAAAAGGCAGGGAGAGAGCATGATGTCTGATTTCTGCTTGAATCCAAGGCTACGCTATGGGAGAAACAGGACCCTTTTGGGTGATAATGATGTGAACCCCTCCATTGTAGGTTCAGGTTGTATTTATTTGTAAATGAACCATATATCATAAATACGCCATGCTTGCCTCATATCACAGAACCTGGATAAGCACCCGGAACACCTGGAATCTCGCACCGCTCAGAGATTGGGGTGGTGTGTAACAGTATGCAGTATGCAAGCTTGGGGGCATTCTTCACCCAGTTTGTAGAACACCCAAAGCACTTCAGAGTAAACAAGCTGAGAAATCTTATATCTGGAAACCGTGCTCTGAGGCTTCCTCATCACTCTGGGAGTTTGATCTTTTGACAAATCTTAAAAGCCTTCCCTCTCCACCCTGTCCCTGAAAACCTCAGATATACTTTTCATTATAATGGCATTTTCTCCAGAGACCATGGGCTTCCTAGTTGTTGTTTTTCACTCTAACACACAGCATGAAGCCTGTATTGCTAGCAAAACAACAACTATGTAGGTAACTTCGTTATTTTGCATTTGCATTTGTGGCTTGTCAGGCCTCTGGCAGGACTCTTTAATGCTTGGGTGGAACCTTTGGTGAATTGTTAGTTCTGCCTCTACTAGTTATAGTGGACCTACTAATTGTCAGTTAGCACACAAACACCAGTGGCAGCTTGCTTTGAAATGCTGATGTGTTAATGCAATACAGGCAGATGAGTTATATGTTCCAGCCCGTTACTTCTGGGAATTTAAATTCAGATTTGCAACGAATGAGATATGCCTATGTACCGTAGTTCAAACTTCTTAATGAGCCATTTGCCACCTCACCATTCTGCAGCCAGGCACCAGGGACTTGGTCAAAGGAAGCAGGCACCAAACGTAATCCAGCCGTGCCATACCGCTCTGAGAACATCCATAACTAAGAAGCATTTTAGCCTTCTTGGGATGTTACCACAAGACCCATCCATTTCCCTAGATAGCACCAAGTCATAAAGGGACCCCTGACCATTAGGTCCAGTCGTGGCCAACTCTGGGGTTGCGGCACTCATCTCGCTTTATTGGCCGAGGGAGCCGGCGTACAGCTTCTGGGTCATGTGGCCAGCATGACTAAGCCTCTTCTGGTGAACCAGAGCAGCGCACGGAAACGCCGTTTACCTTACCGCTGGAGTGGTACCTATTTATCTACTTGCACTTTGACGTGATTTTGAACTGCTAGGTTGGCAGGAGCAGGGACCGAGCAACAGGAGCTCACCCCATCGCAGGGATTCGAACTGCCGACCTTCTGATCAGCAAGTCCTAGGCTCTGTGGTTTAACCCACAGTGCCACCCGCGTCCCTTTTAGCACCAAGTCATACTGAACCCGAAAAATGCAGTGAGGAAGATGCTTTCTCAGTGGCGACTTGTAACACCATTTAACACAGGGGTGGGGAACTTTTGCAGCCCAAGACCTGCAGCCTTTCTAGAGCAGCATACCAGAAATGAAAAGTGAGTGGGACAACGGATGTGATTTCTAACTTTGTAGAGAACTTTGTACAGTAGGCTGCTTTCCAGCTATGCAACATTCAGGGTTTTACGCGCAAACACATCCCTCCAGCATTTGTTTGGGCAAACAAGAGGCATTACCACTGTAGTGTCGTGGTCAGAGTGTTAGAATTTAAGTTTTAAAGTTATTGAACTTAACTTTTATACCCTTCCTGAAATAATTTTAAAGTCAACTGGGCATTACATCAGTTAAGGGAGATGAATTGTGAAGAACTTTAGCAAACATCTGACTTTTCTCCAGATTTGAAAGAACTTGGGTTTGTTTGTTTTTTAATGCCCAGTGCTGGGCTGTACCGGCAAGAATGTACTCAGTAGTGAATACCAATATATGCACACATTCAACAAATAGCCCAGTCTCTCTCTCCCCCTTTCAGTAAAATAGAAGGATTGACAACTTAAAACCAAGCAAAATAAAATACAACTAACTGATGTAGTCATCTGTACGGGCCAAATCTGTGCGGCTACAATGCAATCTTGTATATGAGTTTTAAAAATCAAAACGAACAATGCCAAGGCTGCACTAATCAATACAAGCAGTTAATAGTACAACTATAACAACTAATGGATTTTTATTTTATTTTATTTTTTACAGAGCCTCGTACGGAAAATAATCAAACAATACGCTTCTTTGTGAGGCCTTTCCCAGCACCATGATAGTGCTAGTAAC